TAGGCTACTTTAACCGCGGGAGATCATCTCATTCCCACGGGAAAATACGTTTTAATACAACCCAAAAAAAAATTTATGATCAGAATACCTACTTGAAACTTGATATTAATGCTCTACATTACAATTAAATAAATACGTGTTTTAGCATTTTTCGAAATTCATACCATAAGGGGGTAAAGTAGGGGATGAAAATTTGTATGAACCTTTTTAAGTGTTTTTGTAGTTGTTTTTCTAGTTTTATATATAAATATAAAAGAATTGCTCATTTAATATTATAAGATTTACAAAAATATCTTCATTATTTTAAGAACTAAGAAGCAGCGTACGCACTTGTATGTGTTATTTTTCTTAAAATGTTTGTTTGTTTCTTTTTGTTACGTAGTAAGTATACGATAGATTATTTCCACTACTTCAGTGGTTTCTGTGGGCTAGTTATAGTTAGTCTATCGCAATTAGTGAATAGGGACGTTAGTGAATTATAAAATTAAATTTTGAATGGCTCTCGTATAAATTGAAATAATTCTTGATGCGTCGCGAAGTAGGTCAGGCCGTGCCGCGCAGCCGCGGTTAGCTCGCTAGTGCAATTAATTACGCGTATTCATTGCTTTATGACCGGAAAACTAACTCATATTGAAAATATATATCTAGGTTTGATGTTTTTGTTACAACTAAATCGAACCTTTTTAGCCGACTTTAAAGTAGCTGCTGTATTTTTTATTAATTATGGTAAATACGTTATACTTTGCATACCTTTAGATACAAATAAATAAAATTGAAGTGTTTGTTTGTAATGTCAAAATAAAGGCTTTTAACTAAATATATTTGAAAGTATAAACGGTAGGTAATTATAACAAAAAAAAAGCAATATTTATTTTTTTGGTCTATTTGTTCCGGCTAATCTCCCAAACTGCTGGCCCGATTTTAACGAGACTTTCACTGACAGATAGCTAATGTTATAGGGAGTAACTAAGGCTACTTTTATTTTAGAAAAACAATTAGGATACCGCGCAAAAAAATGAAACCCCAAGAATGAAATTGTGCAAGCGAAGCGCTTGAGATTTAATAATGGAAATCGTAAAGTCGAATAGGGGAGGTGAATTTGGGTCCGCCTGAGTGCATATTTTTGAAGTCAGTCTTTACATATTTACATGCGATTAAATCTTTTCACTAAAAGAAAATAAAACAAGTTTAGCTTCAACAGATGCTTCTTTAATAAATTACGTCATGTTCATATCTTTAAGCAAAGTGATAATGTAAATAAGCATGTCGCTTCGAGTGCTCCGAGGCTGTTGACAAATATTGTACGTTTAAAATTTATGAAATGAATTAAAGCTTTGTGCTTACATAAAAATATTTTTTGTTATCTCTACTTGGTTGTACTCAAATATGTACGTATAAGTTTAATGAACACGCTTTTGTTAGCATTTATTACCCGAGGCTTCGCCCGCGTCCAAACTTCCGATCGCTAACAAAATTCACAGGATCACCCGCTAGACTAATCTGAAGATTACCTGAAAAAATCATCAAAATCGCTCCAACTGTTTTGGAGTCGATAGAAAACATACATACACACATCGATTTTTATTTTATTTAATTAACAATTTACATTTATTTATTGCTCTGAAACTGGAGTCTTTTATGAAAATTTAGTGGCAAACCGACTGCAGCCCCACCTCCGCTCGAACATACACAAAAATATCATTAAAATCGTACAGAACCATTATATATATATATATATATATATATATATATATATATATATATATATATATATATATTAAGATATGGTCCAGTGAACCCTATCTACTCAGGTGAATAAAATTAATTTGTCTGTTTGTAATGTCAAAATAACAGCTTTTTGCTTAATGCATATGAAATTATAAACGGTACTTATAAAAAATACATAATATGTTTTTATTTTTGTCTATCTGTTTGTACCGGCTCATGTCCCAAGCGGCTGGACTGATTATGATGAGACTTTCACTAGCAGATAACTGAAATAATAAGGAGTAACTTATGCTATTTTATTTTAGAAAAAAAAAGTTAGGGTTCCGCTCAAAAAAATTAAAACAGACCTAGGGCACCGACCCAACGTTCCTGATCAAAACAAAGGTAATTCGCTAGCTATACTATATAAAATCATACGTACGCGCATGACGAATCAATAACTAACAAAAAATTGAATATCGTTCATGGTCTTTACCAAAGTACCGTATTATGTGGATGTAATTAATAACATATTCGTTACACTAAATCAAGTTTTTGTTAGGTTGTATTGAATCTGATGGATGGTCTAATGTAAAAATATTTTGACTTAGAATTAATTTTTATAGTTATCAAGAGTTATGCACTAAAGTATAATTCTCACACACACATTGATTGTGAATTGTGATTTATATCACTGAAACACTAATGACATGAAGTTTTCACGCCTAAAAGATACTTAGTATTTTTGTCGAAGAGAATCATAGAAAAATCCTCAAATTATTAGATACTTTATTATACAATACCTATACACGATGGCTGACAGACTATCCGAAGTATTTCCCTGGTAGAGGAAGTTAAAGTGATTTTACATTGTTTCTCATAGTTAATACCTGCCATTTCGCATATTTTGTTAGTTCGACATACTAGAATCTATAACTTTCAAGGACGTCATCTCGGAAGCCACAAATAGAATCTCAATCCCAGTGCAGCAGATTAGATTAGAATATTCTCGCAATAAACCTAACAGTGTTACAAGAGTCGTTATGTCTGAGTATACATTTGTGTATACAGGTATTTCTATTAAAGTACTTCAATAATAATAATCTATTTATTATAGACTTCCATCCACAAAGGGCATGTTTATTTTTTATAGGTTGTTGGTTTTTATTCCAAGGTTTTTAACCATCATAAAATTATATTCATACTAGCGAGGTACGTTTTAAATAGATATAAATAGTTATTAGCCAGCGTTAGCTATATAAATTAAAAAAAATCGTTTATTTTATATATATATATATATATATATATATATATATATATATAAAATATATATATGATCTTGGACTAATTATATGTATTGGTTGTGTTCAAAGTTGTAGAATTATTGTAATTTAAAATTTTTGTTAAAAAAAATATATATATATATATATATATATATATATATATATATATATATATATATATATATATATATATGATCTTGGACTAATTATATGTATTGGTTGTGTTCAAAGTTGTAGAATTATTGTAATTTAAAATTTTTGTTAAAAAAAAGGTTAGTCCCGCTAAGTTTTTTTGCCAGTTCTTCTCTGGTCTTATACATCTTCTTTCCGAATTGGTAGTAGACTCATGACATTCAGTTAAAAAATGTAATAATTTAACGCTGAATAAACTAATTTGAATATAATAATCTATCTATATAAAAATGTGAACGACGAAACGTGAAAAAATGACCGAGGTGTATGTTCCCTATTGACTCCAAAACGGCTGGAGCAATTTTGATGAAATTTTCAGGCAATCTTCAGATTAGCCCAACGGGTGACCCTGTATAATTTGGTAGTGTTCGGAAGTTTAAACGCGGGCGAAACTGCAGATACTGCTACGAGTATTATTCAATATAGGTATACCTATTTACACATTCCACTCCTTAATTATATAACTTAGGAGAGAATTTCGTAATAGCTTTTAATTAAACATCTCCATTATTGTTATTATACCAAATCATTGGGTACCTACGTCATAACTAATATTATAACAAGTAGACAAATTGTTATTTAAAAATATTTCCGGAAGTTCTTATCAAGTTTCAGACACATTCTTTATTGCTTACAAAGTCTTAACTTATATTTAATTTTATGCGATAGACAGGTTTATAGTTGAGTTTAACGTTTAACTGGAATGTCAAACTTTAACTAAGCGCACGTCTGGATCAGTAGTTCCGGAGTTCATCTCTTACGTCTTGCGAATTTTATCTCTTTATAATATTAGAGTAGATAAAGCTTTGACTATGATGAAGTACTGTAAATAGTAGTCTTAGTACTACAGTATAATACGCTTTAATTAATTTTTAATCTCGATACCTCAAGTAGTTAATGGTCATTATATAAGTTATATTTGCATAGAGGTATAAGAGAGCGAAAGCACGTGACTATAAATTTGTAAATACTAGGGTTCGCGCAGTGGTCCAAATTCGACCACAATCATTATTGAGAGGTAAATATACTATATGAATAGAGTTTGCCTCTATATCAAATATTAAATATAAACTAACCTAACTAAACTAATATATAATATAAACTAGAAAAAAATCGGTTGACAAACATAGAAGAAAAAGGTACTGTTTTGTCTTTATATATATGTATGTATATATATATATATGTATGTCAAACCAAAATCTATAGTGTGATTAAAATTTATTTTAAAATATATAAGAAAATAACATTAAACTTTAATTAATAGTATAAAAAATGTTTTAAAATCTAAATGTGCATGTGAGATATATATAAGAGACATATCATAAGACATATTCCGCGATAAACAACATCATTCCCAAGGAGGGTTGACGTCAGGCAGGCGGCCGGTCGTAAAACTTTTGCCAAATCCGTTCAGCAGTACAGAGGATGTACTGCGCCGACCCCAAGTAATTGGGAAATGGGCAGGGAGAAGAAGAAGAAGATATATATATATATATACATACATATATATATATATATATATATATATATATATATATATATACAGATATCCAAAGACATTTATTTAATATTTTGCTAATAAAAAGGAATAGGTAAACAATTTTATAATATAAAATCAATTGAAACCTAAAAAGTTACGCATAATTAATGAAGCTCAGTCTAAAGTAATTAGTATAGAAAAATTTGGTGTCGTTTCGTATTAAGTACTTCGCTGTAATATCTCTTTCATACAAAATTAATAATACCTGCTTCGTGGGGAGGTGGGTTGGCGAGTGGACAACGTCTGTAAACAGTATAACTTTTGAGATTTCCATTACCATGTTTGCTTCAAAGCATTTCCTAATTGGCATAGGTAAATATAATATAACTTAATAATTTTATACCAATATTCTTTATTTATTTCACCTGTTATGTTCCAAAAAGTTATGACTTACCTTACGTATAGTACCTACTATGTTTAAGCGTTTAAACTTTATGTGCATACAATCTATCTATATATATATATATATATATATATATATATATATATATATATATATATAAAAATTGTAACTAAGCCGAATCTGTAATGGAATGAATGAATCTGTTTAATGGAAAATCTATAGTATTTAGAATTTTTGTCTGTCTGTCTGTTACCGCATCACAGAAAAACCACCAGAGGAATTTTGATGAATTTTGGTATGGTGATAGCTGGTTATCCGGGTCAACATATAGGATACTTATTACCGCGTGAAAATATCTCATTTCTGAGAACAAATACAAAAACTGCATTGTAAGAGTATACTACGAGTAATATGTAAAACCTACGAATTTAGTTTTTGGTCATCTGAACGCGGGCGGAGCCGCGGGCAATGCTAGTAATTTATAAATTCCATGAAATTCATACTTATAATTTTAATAACAGGTATTTGTAATTTTAGCATCGAATAACAAAGTTTGAGCCGGTACTGCTATATGAACAGCCAAATATTTCAAGCGAAAATTAAATGCTCGATTTCTGGAATAGAATATAAAAGTTCGACCACTACGTCGGAATGCCGAAATGCTTAACTTCTACAATATTACTTGAAGTTACAGTAAAAATATATGTTTTATATAAATTTTACTTGTATCTAAAATCTAAATGACTTTAACGATGTATATTGTATATCCATAATAATCTTACAAATATGAAAGTAATTTATTTTTCCTTTCACACTTAAACCACTGAACAGATTTCGATAAAATTTCACGAGGACATAGATTGCATAAGCATTGACATTGACATTGACATAAGCTTCCCCGCCCCGCTTATCATGCGAGCGTTGCTTTTAGCTAAAATTAGTACACAATATATTATTATAAATATTTTTATACATTTTTTTATGCAAAAGTCTCCGATAAAGTCCATTAAACATCAAACGTCTTTCCCTTTGTTCAAATATAACTTTCTTAATACAGTAAAAATCTGACTCTGGGGACTTTGCATCAAACTTAAAAAACTGTAATTGTCACCTTTGTATCGTACAATGTAAAGGTACAAGTGTGAACACGTTCTTAGCTTACACATTAAAATAATTGCATGTATAAAATACTTGTTGCATACAAAATATACACCCATTGAAGTTTCATCACAAAGTCGTCGAATAACTTTTTGCAACAACTTAGTATGAAATTACGTTTTAACATTAAAAGAGCTTTAAATATTATTCATAAAATTTCTGTAACTGTGAGAATTTTTTCTATTGTATATAACTTCTCCTTTGAGAGCTACTGTTTAATCTTGTCAAAGGGATGTTTAAAACTTTTGCCTTCGCTAGAATTGATACAGGAAAGTCACAACGCGTTCTTCTTTCATTGTGCTATCCTTTTGTAAACTCTCATCCTAAAGCTAGATTCTCTTATTTTGCTTGTTTTTGACAATCACCTGGTGGACTACAAATATTTGAATCTCAAACATCCCTTTGATTCAATCTACTCAACATTTTTATTGAAATACTGGCTGACTCGCTCAAACGTTGTTTTGCCATTTGAATTATTTCTTGAGTATGAAAATATATATGAAATATATATTAAAGGTAAAGTATAAAATCTAATCAGTAGGTATATATTTTAATTCTATATTTGATTTTTTTTTCCTAAATAACTTTTAAACTAATTTATTATACCTTTTTAATGTTACTTTTAAAATGTAGCGTAGGAGTTTGGTAAAACGAAACCCCATTGATCAGCTATCGACCGGGGATGAAAAATAAAAATGAATGAAAAACGAAACCCCATTGATCAGCTATCGACCGGGGATGAAAAATGCTATTAAGAAGTAGGGGTTGGTGGTAGGAGGGTGAAAATTAAGGGCTGAATGTATTTTTTAATACCACACCAGAAAATATAAAAAAAAAATTGACCAAAATATGAAAATTTTTGGGATGAGCCACCCTTAACACTTAGGGGTATAAAAATTAGTTATAAACCTATTCTCAGACCTACTGAATATACATATAAAATTTCATCAAAATCGGTCAAGCCGTTTTGGAGAAGTATAAACACGAAAACTGTGATACAAGATATAAATATATATAGAGATTAAACATCGAGAAAATCTAATTTGCATATCCATAATACGAGAATATTAAGGACTTCGATATGTCAATGCAGAATACATAGACTAGTGCATCGCGATTGCTAATTGCTACAAACAAGTACTTATTATTGTATTTAATTATGTATTTACACGTGCCCTCGAATATAATGAGCTGTCCGCGTAAAATGAACTAACTCGGAAGCAATTTTTATGCCAAAACGCATATCTATAAATACTAAGCTTAATCTATAGGTACTATCCATATTAATAATATAAATGTTAACGGTTAGTATAAAATACAAATCTTTGAATTTCTCGTCTTTTGTACTATAATATCCATGTGTTATACATATAAACCTTTCTCTTGAATCACTCTATCTATTGCTGAAAACTGCATTAAAATCCGTTGAGTAGTTTAAAAGATCTAAGCGAACAGACACCGGAAGCGAGTTCATTTTATACTATGTAAAGATGTTGTAGTAGGTCAACTCCGAAATTTTTAGTAACTAGAAATTATATACGCTTATTCAATATGAACAACACAAATAATGACATTGTGAAAAACCTTTAAATTGATTAAATATGCTTTTAAATACTTAAGATGGTTTGGTTTTTACCTTAGAAACGATTATATCGTAGCTATAGCTAATAAGAGATGTAAAAAGTTAACCTAAAACTCAGTAACAAGTTAAATTGCATCGATTTTGGGTCAATGACTACGTCGAGATGTTTCTTTTAAACAAGTGCCATTGTCTCACTATCCAAGGCCTATACTGTCTATCTCAGCCTATACTGTACACATCTGTACGTGGTCTGCATATAGACGGATTGATATAAATCTTGTCGTGGCTTTCTTCAATTGTAAACTTTAACATATTAAAAGTATCAAAGCTGTGTAATACCTATATTTTTTACAAATAAAAAACCATGTACTCTTTGCAATCAATCGTCTGGATTAATCTTAAAAGTGTAATAGATGCTTTACTACGTAAATTACTTACTATGTAAATTTATGATCCAACAATACCGTGTTGAGATCAAGTCTAGGATTCGTGATTTTAAGAGCTCTCCGATGCACGCTACCTACTTTGTGCCTGCTATTGAACATTTCTAAATCCTGGAATTCGTTTAGTTCGACCCGGGACTCAAACCCTAGGTGACCTCATATTTCAATTTGTATTGCATACAATAAAAGGGGTCGGTGTCTTTAGCCTATGTTAAAAAAATACTTAGATTTAACTTTTGAATATCGGTTCGGGAGTTTTTTCTTCGTGGTGGCAAAAGGTTTCAGCGTCCGAGTTTTAATTCCCATCCCTGATCCCCGTAATAGTATAAAGCTATTTCCACTTTTGAAATGATAATATTCCACTACTGAGGAGTCTTTGTATTTTATTTTGTTCTAGGCGCCTACTTAGTGTTGACTTATCCTCACTTTTTGTATGCCGACTTTACGTACAGGAACGGTGTGGTGGGCGTTTTTCCTGTTGAGGATGATCACCGAATTTTCTTAGATTTAGAGCCGGTAAGACATTTTTTAGTTTTTTTTTTGGAAACCGCGTTGAAGCATGGTGGAAAGTTTTGGAGATTTGTGTGTATAACGTATGTTTCTTAACTTCAAACTTCGTAGTTAATGAGTTCGATTCTCACACAACACGAATTTCCACTATAAAATATTGCATGCAGATCATGATGTTCAATATGTACTATTTGTGTATTTCTATTTATATCTGAAATATGTCGTATAAAGGTTTTCTAGTAATACTGAAATTTACAATTTTCTTTCAATAAAAATCACATATTATTAGTCTGGAAAAGTGCTTACATCTTACGTCTGCTATGCATGTACGCTTTGATGTATGTTCTGAGCTTATCTCGATAGAAACATTACGTAAAACATTTTATCTTAAGAAAGGGCGCTCCAAATTTCTTTTGCTTTTTATGCTTTTAAAAATTGAATTGTTTGTAACATATCTTACTTTATAAAAACAATAGAAAGCACTAGCGTGAATGTTCGTTTGATCTTATTCAAACAACAAAATATTGGAATCATTTTTACATAGAATGGCATAGAATACTTATATTTTATCACGTCGATCGTTTAGTGTAAAGCCAACATCAACTGAAACTTATAAAGTGGGATTTCAGATTCAAATCCTGCAAATGGTAACCAAGGTGTACGCAGTGTCTAGTTCAAAAGAAAACCTTAGATAGAAAATTGCTATCTATATCAAACTAAATTATACATGCAGATATAATCTATACTAATATTATAAAGAGGTCAAGTTTGTGAGTTTGTCACATTGTAGGGATCTCTGAATCTACTGAACCACTTTAGTTGTAAGAAGATAGTTTGAGACCCTGGAAAGGACATAGGTTATATTTTATCCCGGAAATCATCCCTTAAGGGGGCGCAAATGGGGATGAAAGTTTGTATGCGGTATCAGGATGAGTCGGTAGTCATTTAATAAAAAGGTATTAAAATTAAATAATGTATACAAAAAAAATTATGCGGCTAGAAAGTCATTTTTCCTACAATAAGATATTTATAGTGTAGACATTTTTAAAGTGTGTTATATATGTTATAACAATATTACTAACATTTTCGCTTCATTGCAGTACACAGGCACAGTGATTCGAGGTATGAAGCGGGCACAGTTCAACGTCTTCCTGCGGCCAGTGACGTCCATCGAAGCCACGCAAAACTTGCGATTGACACTCGCCCCAATCCTATGGGTTGAAGAGGTAAGAAAAATATATTATACCACCATCAGAACCCGCGGCTTCGTTCTCGCTAAAACTGCAAAAAATCTCTAAAAAGGAGTTTCATACAAACCTTCATCCCCTATTTAACCCCCTTATAGGATGAATTTCGAAAAATGCTAAAACACATATTTATTTAATTTTATTATTATTTATATATTAATATTAATTTTAATTTTATTATATAAATATTTTTTTGGATTGTATTATAACGTGTTTTCCCGTGGGAAATATAGTATGTGCTATAAAATTATTTTTATTATTATTTCTACAGGAGCAACTGTCAGCAAAAGTGTGTTTCTCGCTAGTATTGGTTCCCGAGCCGTAGAGTAGCGTCCTCGCAGATTTTATCTACGTTTAATTTTAATTGTAAAAAGTAGTTCAAATGTGCCTTATAATTTTAATAAAGCATATTCTGAATTAGAATTTGCAATGAGTTTCGCCGCGCCCGGCGCCGCGCTAACCTGTAACAAAGAAATAGAAATCTATTTACTTCACAATCACTAATCGTATTATTCCTTGCTTTATGAAAGGGAGACAAAAATGAAAAGTAGTTATGGTTTTACATTTGACTTGTTCCTTTTTTTAATTTATTTTATAAAAACACTAGCAGAACCCGCGGCTTCGCTCTCGCGCTAGAACTATAAAAAATCATACAAACTTTCATCCTGTATTTTATTTCGTACGACGACGGACGAATTTCGTAAAATGCTAATACACGTATTTATTTAATTGTATTTAAGAGCATTATTACCAAGTTTCAAGTAATTCTTGTCATATTTTTTGGGCTGTATAATAATGTGTTTTCTCGTGGGAATGAGGTAATCTCCCGCTATAAAAAGTAGCCGATGTTACTCTCCAGCCCTCTATCTTCATACAAAAAAATCATGCCAGTCCGTCACTCAGCTTGGACCTGAAACTAAGACAAACCAACAAATAATCAAAGAAATAAATTTTACACATTTGTATTACTAGCAAAACCCGCGCCTTCGTTCGCGCTAAAACTATAAAAAAAAACTCTAAAAGGTCTACCTAGTCTACCTAGGTTTCATACAAACTTTTATTCCCTATTATAGATTTCATTCCATAATCCCTATTATAGACTTTTCACGTTTAACGAACGGCGGTGTGTCCCGACACCCGACACAGCCCCACCCGATTTTTTTAGTTCAATTTTCACGCTGTCCTTTAGTATAGATTTCTCAGATCGCGGCGAGTGTAGGTACCTACTATTACATTTGGCTTGGCACCGACTTCAAACCTTTAAATAGGTAGCACATACAAATAATAGTATTTTATTAATGTTAAAGTTTTGCATAAGAGGTGTATTAAATCTTCATTAATAATAATAATAGTAATGAACACTTTATTGCACACCACACAAGAAATAAATAAAGAAGTGAAATATATAATAAAAAAAGATGCACAGCAGGTAACCTTATCCTTAGAAGCGATCTCTTCCAGGCAACCTTAGGGTAGAGGAATCAGTATATAAAATGGTTGGCGGTGTACTTGCATAAATACATACATAATATATATCTGCATCCATACATAAATACATACATACATATAATTGCACATTTCAATTATTTCATTTAAATGTCCAATTTAAAAACATAAAAGATTAATTTGGAATTGATCAAAAAATATTTAGTGGTAGTAGTATGTGGTAAATATAAACTTCAAAAAAAAAGCACTCGTATATGAGGTTCTTTACATATTTTTAGTTTTTAATTTGTTTTTTAGATTATATTTAGTTATTTTCCGATATAAGTATTATTATTACAAAAAATCTACACATATAATTATTTTTACATAATCTATACATATAATAAAATTGTAACTAAGCCGAATCAGTACACTAAATATTTTTTGGAAAATCTTATTGAAATAAACATTATTATCGATACAGAGGCTGAATCTATAGTTTTTAGAATTTTTGTCTGTCTTTCTGTCTGTTACCACATCACAGAAAAACAGCTGGAGGGATTTTGATGAAATTTGGTATGGTGATAGCTGGTTATCCGGGTCAACATATAGAATACTTTTACCGCAGGAAAATATCTCATTTCTGAGAAAAAATGCAAATACTGCAATGTAAGACTATACTAATATGTAAAACCTAGTAATTTGGTTTTTGGTCATCTGAACGCGGGCGGAGCCGCGGGCAATGCTAGTACATTATAAAACCATGTTTATAATAATTTTTAACTGAATTTACGTCTTTATTAGTATCTACTGCAATTTAAGTTGATCTACAAATGCTTCACCTAATTGCATTCATCCTATTTACGTGTCTAGACCGTTCGTCCGGTTGTGGTGAAAATTTCGTGATAAGTTGAAAATGCATCTGATAAGCTTTATTTGTTTACTTTACCTTTTGTTTCACCTATATTATTAATATTTCCAGGGTATGCATCTCCCAGAAGATTATGTAAACCTGTTGAAGGATCGTCTCCTTCGCAATTTGCGACTCGTGGACATTCTCATCCCAGTCCTCATGACAGTGTGCGCGCTTGTAGTGGCTTTAGGCGTCGTCATCCTCATAAGACTTGGATATTTGAGAAAAAAGAACTTAAGCGACTCCACAGAGCGTATACATCCTATGTAAATATTTTAATTTTTAATATAAGTAAATTTTTATAGTACGTTTTTATTTTATTTCCCAGTTTCCATGTAGTTCATAGGTGTTAAAAAGGTAGGAACACTAATTATTTCAATGGGATATGTTATCGTTTTTAGTTAAAAAAAAAGAAATATAAACTTAAAAATTAAATTAATATTATCATCGTTGCCACTTGCCTATGCAATATAACTTGCAATGATATAATGACAAGAGAATGGATGACACAGCTAGTACAAGAAGAGCTATTAGTATTTATTACGTAACCTTTACTGGTACATAAAAACTACAATTAATGTTAGAAAACAAAATGATAAATACATGTAATAATTAGTGCCGCTAATTAAGTTACTTGTTTTATAAGCGCTCGGCTTTGTTAGGAAATGAAGCCACGATCAACGATCAACGATCGACGATATTAACGTCGAAATCTGATTTCATATTTATTTTTTATTTATTTATTAACTTTTTAAGGGAAACAAACAGTACAATAAATAATTACATTCTAAAACATATAAAAGTAATGCTAAAAACCAACCAAGTTTCCACAGATTCACAATACATAAACAAAAGCTTACCACCACGATAAGATGATACATATTATATAAAAATTCTGACTTTAAAAATAACTAAATGTTACCACATACATATAATAAAACATCAAGTAATTATGCAGTTAAAAGTAACAATATACATACAAGCTACAGCAAAACTACCTATTATAAATTAAGTTTTACAATATTTTTTTTAAAACTATTATATTTAAGATGAAAGATATCTAATTTACAATATTTTAAATTAAACTTGTTACATGCACGAGATACAAAATTATTTGAAGCATACTTCGTTTTAGCCTTACGTATTGCAAAAAGAGGTTTATTTCGTGCACCTAATCTGTGACACGCAAGATTCACTTTGCTTAAAAGTAGGGGAGAGTAGATTATATTATGTAGTAATTTATACAACAACATTTGATCTCTTATATCACGGCGTTTTTCGAGGGTATTACTGTTTAAGTTTTTAATAATGGAATCTACAGATGAATTATAATGTTTTAAGTGACGCAGAACAATACTCAAGAATAGACCGCACCAGAGAGTTAAATAGTAACATTAAAGTTGTGGACTGTTTAAAATCTTTCGAGATACGCATAACAAAACCTAGCATTTTGTAAGCTCATTGAGTTATAATACTAATATGTGACCCCAGTACCAGCTTACTATTCAACTGAACACAAAGATCACGCAATTCATTTACTCTTATAAGTAAATTGTCATTAAGCTTATAATTAAAGAGGATGGGATTCTTTTTTCTAGTAAATGAGATGACGTTACATTTCCTGATGTTCAGGTAAAGATCATTTGCTTGACAATATGAACATAGCCTACACAGATCTTCTTGAAGTAGATTGCAGTCCTCTAAAGTTTTAATAGACCTAAAAATTTTCATATCATCTGCGAAAAGGAGAACTTTGGAATTATGGAAGCAGGATATGACATCATTTATAAATAACATAAACAGCAGCGGACCAAGATGCGAACCTTGAGGAACACCTGAAGAAAAGGGAGGAATGATGAACAGTATCCTTTTATTGCAACCGCCTGACTGCGATTTCTAAGATAAGAGGATATCCATCGAAGTAAATCACCATGTACACCGATTTGTTCTAGTTTGTGTATTAGAATACCATGTGAAATTTTATCGAAGGCTTTTGTATAATCGGTGTACACTGCATCTACCTGCAGTCCACTATCCATAGCGATATAGAGATGGTCAAGAAACTCGCAAAGATTACTTTCTGTAGACTTTCGACCTACAAAACCATGCTGTTCGGGGATTATCATTGGTCGAACTATTTGAGAGAGCGTATCGTAAATAATTTTCTCAAATAATTTAGGAATTGAGCTTAATTTTGGAATATGACGGTAACTTGAAATGTCGTGTTTATTACCACTTTTAAATATGGGAGTTATAAACGATATTTTCCATTGTAAAGGCATTTCACCCAACTTCATGGAAGTTCTGAACAGAATTACTAATGGTTCAGCTAATTCATTGTAACATCTCTGTAAAAACAAGGGTGGAATGCCATCGGGTGCTGGTCCCTTACTGAGATCCAAGCGTTTTAAATACCCAGAAACTTGAGGGATTGTAAAAGTGATTGAATCGATACTTATCGACTGCGCCGAGGTAGAACTCTGACCGTTATGATTTGGATTATTATTAACATTAAAAGCTGAGCTAAAGTGAGTATTAAATAAATCACATTAAATATATCACAATTTCCACCGGATCAGAAGTCGTATAATCATCCAGAAGCATAATGTCTGGATGATCATTACCTTTTCGTTTAGATTTTACGAAAGACCAAAAGAATTTACTATTAATACCAATCCTGTATTCAGCATTATTGATAAATTTATTATAACAATCCTCCTCCATAAGTTTTTGTCTTTCTCTTAATACGGCAAAAGATACGTAATCACTATCCCGTTGATACACCTTCCACTTGCGATGAAATTTTAATTTTTCATTTATAGTTTTAATCAATACCCTATTATACCATATCGGGTACTTAGTGTTAAATTTAATAGTTTTAGTTGGTACGTGTTTCTCTATTATATTATTTAAAATTTTATAAAATTGCGATACAGAGACATCAATATTACCGTCACTTAAATTGGATTTCCAGTCTATTTGCGAGAGATTCATATTTATTGCCTCATAATCAGCATACCTATACAACTTGACTGTATGAGCCCGGGCCCCGAGCAGTTTCTCATGTGATTTTAAAATCGTAAACTCAAATGCTGGATGGTACGAGTCTTCGGAAACTATTGGAGTAGATACTAAACTGACTTTGCAATTAATATAAGCTATTAAAAGAGCCAATATACGATCATTAATATTTATAAATATATTGTACTGATTAAAATTATTAAAAGAAAGAAAATTTGCTAGTTCATTAACTGTATCTAACGAAAAGTCTCCATGTAAGGTCACATCACCATAACTATTATTTGACCAGACTGCGTTAGGTATATTAAAGTCTCCTAGTATAATGAAGTAGTCATCAGGATACGAAAGATTTTCATCAGAGATATTTTCGTAAAAATTTAACAACACATCTTTGTGAATTCGACATTGTGGAAAATAGCAGCAGTATATGTTGCATCGTTTATGTCGTTCAAAAGAGATAGAAACACGAATTACGTAAGCAGCTGAATTTGTTGATGGGATGCATTCAACGTTGGTGACTTTTAGCTCACGTCTCATTGCAATTAGAACCCCTCCACCCATAGTATCACCCCTGACTGTATAGTTACGATCACTTCTGTACACGTAATACCGTGCGTCAAATAGTTCTAAGTCGAATATACCCGAATGTAACTAAGTTTCAGTGAAGCATATTATATCATATTCATGACATAAGACCTTTCTAAAAAGCAAGCCAGTCTTAGTACGTAGACCCCGAACGTTCTGGTAATAAATTTTTAAATTAGAACCGAATTATATAAAACAATGTAAATATATATATATATATATATATATATATATATATATATATATATATATATGTCGTACATACACAGATTGTAAAAAAGTGATTTAACAAAGGTATTATTAAATGTTGTTGTGAAGGTATAAATTAAATAAAATGGAAAATATCCCAGAATGTGTCAAGATCACGTGCACCATAAGTTTGTTACAAGCGCGGATCCAGGGGGGTCATGACCCCCCCCCCCCCCATACCCAAATATACTTTTTAGAGAAGTTTGAAGTCTAAGAAAGGAAGGAATAAACGGATAAACATTTCAATTTAAAGATAAATGGTTATTATATGTATTTTGAAGATTATATTCCCCTAGTTTCATGAATATCAAAAAGTTTTTGCAGAAATCTATAGACATATAATAAAATTGTAACTAAGTCGAATCTGTACATTAAACTTTTTTGGAAAATCTAATTGAAATAGACATTATTCAGAGTCCGAATCTATAGTTTTTATAATTTTTGTCTGTCTGTTACCGCATCACGAGAAAACCACTAGACAGATTTTGATGAAATTTACATAAAGAATATTTTTCGATAACATGTCACAGCAAGCCAGAAATTAAAAAAAAACTATTTTTCAAGTTTTTTTGTTCCTTATATACCTACTAAAGTTTTATAGCCATAAAACTTAAGGTCTTGATTTTTTGGCAACATTTGGCAAGATATATAATAAACTAGCAGAACCCGCGGCTTCGCTCGCGCTAAAACTACAAAATATCTAAAAAGGTAGTTTCATACAAACTTTCATACCCTATTTTACCCCCTTATAGGATGAATTTCGAAAAATGCTTAAACACATATTTATTTAATTTTATTGAAGAGCATTAATACCAAGTTTCAAGTAATTTTGATCATAAATATTTTTTTGGATTGTATCATAACGTGTTTTAAAAAGTAGCCTTTGTCACTCTCCAGCCCTCCGACTATATCAACACAAAAAAATTCGCCAATCCATCACTCCGTTTCGACGTGAAAGAGGAAACAAACAAACACACTTTCACCTTTATAATATTAATATGGATGTGCAACATTTGGATAATAACTAATAAGTTCATTAAAACATGAATAATCCATATTTATTTATCAACTCCAAATATATTATCTATTCAACACAAATAGTTACACATACTGATTAAATTTTCGAAAGAGAAAAATTCTATCAAAATTTGATTGACAAAGAGGTAGATGCCTAATTGAATATTTCCAAGCACAAAGTGCATTACCTCCTGCTTATTTAAAATTGTGTTTAACAAATAAGCGACTTTGCATATTTCTATTGGCAGGAGCTAATTTTAGTACTACATATTATAAAATAATTAATCTAAGATCCCGATTATATGGTGGACCGAGGACCCCTTATTCTCTTTCCAGGCGAAATATGCTTTTTAAATCATAAAATATATTAACAAACACGACTCAGGGAGGTTGTTACTAAATATATACACCTAATTGTCACTAATTTATACAAAAAACCTCTAGTCTGGAGATGTTTTGGTATGACAATCCTATTAAAATTATCTACATTTTGATATTTAGTTCGTTCCAGAAAACGATACGAGCAATTTACTACTTCAACAAACCTGTTTATACCTGGATGTCAGATAATGTGCTCGAAAAAGGCCGCCATATGATGACATTTTCTACAAGTCTTTTACTTTTAATTTATACTAATTTTTGACAGGAAGAGTTCTTGTACCTACTTTAAAAAAACATTCTAAAACGCAATTTTATATTTTTATTTAATAAAGACCGAACGAAGCTCAGTCGCCTAGGTACTAAGTGTAATCGTACAAAGCAAGTTGTCCGCAATATTTTATTTCTATTTGTTTTGATTGCTTTTAATCATCACACTGACGTCTGTTTTAAAATTGTAATAAAATGCAGAAAAAACTTTTTAAATTGGATTGGTAATTATTTTATAGAGATTAGCAAAACAAAAAACACAGCACACTTCAGCTTTTTCAGTGTAGACTAACATTCAAGGTAAATAATACATTTGGGAGAGGATTAAAAGACTTTTTTAATTCATATACCACATATATTTAAAAGTATATATTTTATTCTTATTGATCTTAAGAAATAACACAGATTTTGAAAAACATGTAGATTTTCTAATAACGGGCGTGAAAAGACCCTCACACAGAATTCGGGTGTCGTCAGGACATAGCGAAACACTAAGTCACCCACGGTGTAAAGAAAATGTTCATATATCGTCTAAAATATATAATATCTGCGACAATAAGTGAAATTGCCCAGAGATTAAATTTTACATCGTGTCTTAACTTACAGAGTACACAAGAAAGAGTTCATTGTGGCCGTTACATAATAAATTTAATTAGACATGCTTCCATACTTCTACCTTACATAGCTAGTACATTCACTTTGGGAGCCTATACACGCAGTGAGACTACTCGACGGGTACAGCTTCGTACGTGCAGGGAAACTAAACAAACACTAACTGAAGTGTGAGGTACGAACTGCATTTTCTGAACACGAGGTCGACCAGTACGTGGGATATAAGTCTTGTAAAAATTTCGAGGCTGATAAGTGGCTAGACTCATCCTCTGTGGACTAGATACGTAGATAACTAAAGCTTCAGATTTCCCGCGCTAACCGACTACTCAAAATCTAATGTATAAAAATAGTTAACAAATGAAAATGACACAACACCCGCCGCGTTATCAGCCCCCGCGAAAAATCAACTATATAGGGTAATTAAAATCATGTAAATAAATAATTTCATTACGATTGGATAAAAATACATGTTGTAATTTATATATAGAAAATGCCCGCTAGTATTATGCAAGAATAGAATAATTTTAATTAAAAACATATATTATAATTTGATAGACGTAGCTAGGGTAAGATGGCCAGTGTTCATCCGAAGAATCTTACGAGCGCACCCCCAGATTATATGAAATTGCATAAAATTACCTAAAAGGGTAGGGGAGGCTGTGCCGCCCCTAGACCGAGCCCTAGCTAGGTCCATACCACTGACGACGGCATAAACAATTTCACATTGAAGGACAGGCATTAGACTAAACATTTACACATATAATGTCAGTTATATCATGATAGTAATCATTGAATTCACATCTACCGTATTTACACGAATGCTGCAACTTAAAATTTATAGTAAAAAATATAAAATAATAATAAATCCGCATTAAATTCTCAAACGCACTAAATTCTTATAAAATAATCAACGTTTGCACTTTCATTAAATAAATTTAATTACACTCGCGCCGTAGTCCGACGCTAAAACAAATGCTAACTAACACATCCTCGCAGTCGAAAAACTTATTAAAAAAAGCGCTGATAACATTAAAGTGTATATATTTTTGGAAAATCTCTATTAGACACATTAAATGAGCGCTGATATTCTATGACTAATCTAATAACGCCTACGCTCTTAGCTTTCCTCCCCTCAGAGTCGACGTGACGAAATAAACTGTAAAATCAGTATGAGGACATATCGGACTCCAAATAAAATATACTCCGCTAAAAATTTTGCTAATATACTGCGAGGGCGGCGTCGCTGCCGCCGACTACGCAGCACGTAGGCTCATTTAAAAATTTAACTAAAATATACTTTAAAAGATATACAGTATTTACACAACTGAATTTAATTAAAGATAAAAGGATTTCTGGTCAACATGTCACTTGAGTGACACTGATAAAGAACTAGATTATATACAACTTATTTACAAGGTCATGCTCTGCAGGTTTCACTCGAGGACTTGGCGCTTGTCGTCATGTCGCTTGCGGCCCTTGGCGTGCGCGAGCATGGTCACTAGCTTCTTGTGGCTGTCTCCCACGATCCAGCCGTGCTGCTGCGGGTGCTCTTGCTCGTCCTCGCCCTCCGACCAGTAGTAGGCGGCTCGCGGGCGCGCCACTCGCTCTGTCTCCGGTCGCTTTGGCTGCCTGCTAGCCTTTCTACTGCACGACATATCCTTCTTCCTACTTCTCTTCTTTCTACCGCCGCCGATCACTGACTCGGCGCTGTTCGCTCTCTGCGGAGCGCCATCGGGCTCAGACTCAGAACTCCAAGTCTCGGCGAGCACGTTCTGTTTGCCAACAGTACATTTCCGACGCGCCCTTTGTCTCGCGACACCCGCATCATCAGATGTCTGATCTGTAGGCTCGCTACGTTCCGCAACCTCAGGCTTTTCAATTTCTTTCTTATTTGCGTAGGGTTTCTCCTTTTCCTTGTGCGTTTTTTCTCTACTTTTATGTTTTTGATAATGATCACTTTGTGGTGACGCATTAACATCTTCGTCGGCAGAGAAATAATCATCTTCATCATCTGATAGATCAATGTCATATTTCGTGGCCATATCTGAATGTAGTGAAGAATGCCTGCGTTCATTACCGGTTTCACTTTTCTTAACATCTTTTCGATTTGAATCTAGAACTGCATATTCAATAGTAGTTGAAATCAAATTCAAGTCAAGTTTTCGAGGTGGTGTAATTGATTTTCGCTTTTTAGACGATGAAGATGTACTTGGATAGTTTGATGAGTCAGGTAGAGCACTCTTTTCAAGAATATTTTTGGTTTCCTGTTTTGAATTATGGCTGGCAGATGACGGACTATCATATTTGGATTTTATTGTATCAGGTTTTGGTGATGCCGGAGTATTGTAAGTCTGTAATGGTACAGCGTCTTTATTTTTGGGTAAAGCATCATTATTTTTGGCTGGTAAAGAAGTTTTGGGTTCTTCTTGAAGTAAACTATCGAATAGCTGATCCAGATTTGCTTTTGGTTTAGGAGTTTCTCTTCTTTTCGGACTCCTTCTTTCACTACGAACAGCATTGTGTTTAAATATTTTGCCCATAACAGCGTTTTTCTCTATGGCATCCTTTCTTTTAAGTGGAGATACAGTTTTCTTGTGACCTAGTTCACAAGAAAGCATACTATTTTCAGTTTCATCGTCACTACATACGTAATCATCCGACATATAAACAAAATCGTCACCATCCGATCCACTCTCACTTGATGCTTCAGCTAAGTCATCTTGATTTACTACAGCTTTTGACGTGCTTGGTATTTCCTTATTGCTTATACTCTTGAACCTCTCCATAAGGGTTGAAGGTCTAAATTCAAATAACTCAGTATCTTCAGTGTCCATGAACTCATAAACGTCGACTTTTTTTTGAGGTGTATCTTTAGAACGGTGATCACTGTCGCATTTGCTGCTTACATCGGAACTCTTTCTTTCTCTCTTTCTTTTTGAACTAGTTTTCTTCTTCTTTTTGAATGAATTTCCCACGGAAGATACGATTGCTGACATATTTATGTCTGACGTTAAAATCGAAACCTTAAATCCATCAAAACCTTTTAGAGCACCCTTAGTAGGTACAGTACTATGACATTTCTTAGATCTTCTTTTCCCTTTTTTCTTTTCAATTTTTTTGAGATTTTTATGACTGTAAAAGAAAAATTAAATATAACAATTATAAAAAAATAATAATAACACTAACTATTTTTATCATAAATTCTTACCTGATGTTACTTTCCACCCGAGATTGGATTTGTTTAGCAGCTGCTGCTTGAGATCGACATTTCCTTTTAATTTTGTCAAATTTATCTTCAAACATATCTATGTTTTCAACAACATCTGGATACATTTTGTCTTTAACTTCTATTTGGCGTTTGGATTTAGTTTTTTGCGATTCATCATTATAATTCACCGCTTCTTCATCAACAGAAGTGTACTCTTCAGAAGATTTAAAGTGAACATTACTTAAAGGCCCCTTCAGCCCATTAGCTTCTTTAAGGTTAGATATCAAATCTTTCTCTAAATTGCGTACTTCTTCACTTTCTAAAATATTTTTTGCTGTAATTGAATCAACGTCATCGCATTTAATGTCACATCTATCATCACTAATACTTCTTTCTAATAAAGCCAACTCTTCTTGACAGGTTTGTGCACAATTAAAACTATTGCAATTACGAATCCGCTTATTGACAGGTGCTTGATCATTTGTATGTGATTCCTTTAACATCGTACAGCAATCAATAAATAATGCTTGATCTCGACTTAGCCCTCTGCGGGAAAGCTGCTGCTCTCTTATTGTTCTCTTAACATCAGCTAAAATTTCTTCTAACGTAGGTAAAATAATGTCCGCCGTAGATAAACAATTTTTCTTTCTCTTGGCTATTTTATTTTGAAGCACCTTTAATCGATCCAATTGTTGCTTATAAGCGATTAAATAATTTGGTTCTTCTTCAATTTTTACAGTTTTAAATTTTAGTTCCACCTCTGACAACCTTGATATATGAATAAGCGTCATTTGATGACGTAAGTAATTATCAGATCTTCGAAAAGCCTTTTTACAAATATGACAAAATGATGGTTCTGGTGGAAGACTCTTCTTCTTCCTACCACGTTTAGCAGCTTTCTTGATGGGAGAAATTGGACCTTTAGTATCTTCTTCCTTCTTACTGTCATTAGTTTTTTTACATACCTTGTCTTTAGATGAAAAGTAAACATCGTCACTTTCATTTGCTATTATGTGAAAAGTTTCAGAAATTTTCTTAGTGGCCAATAAATTAGACTTTCTGGGTTTTCTTTCAGAAAAGAAACCAAAACTTTCCATAAACTGTTCAGAACGCAGCTCTTCTTCAGTGTCTTGTTTTAATGAAGCCGTTTCTTCTTTATTGTTTATAGATTGAGCTCGTGTAATCTTTTTACGGGACTTCGATTTATCACATAATTTATCGCTTTTCTCATTTTCCACTGTGGAATCTTTAGACTCTTGTTGACGTTTTGTTTTATTTACTTCTTCTAAGAGTTTTCTCTCCTTTTCTTCCACATACTTCTTTAATGGTACATCGCTCTTTGAAGATTCATCAGAATCACTACTGCTATCCTTTGTACTACCGACAGACGTATTTACAAAACCAGAAGTAGGCTGTCCCGTCTCCGTTATACTATTGTCTTTTTCAATAGACGCGTCAACAGTAGACAGTGCAATATCAGCCAGATTAGATGGTAAAATGTCGATGATAGCGGAAGGTGCAGTTTTAGTTAATTTCTTTGCTTTAGAAACAAAGGAAGATTTAAAAGATTTGAATTCTATTTTTGATGTTTCTTTCCTAACGAACGGTTCCGTTTTTTCAACCATATCTTCCAAATCTATATCGTAAGGATCGTATAAGTCTGCCCCAGAAGATTTGACGACGACAGATTTTGAACGTGCGCGTCTTGCTGCGGGTTTGTTATAGCAAGGTGTACTTCGTGAGACTACAATTGCAGTTGCACCTTGTTTTATGTTCACAGATTTCATTTCGCTCTCAGCAGCTTTTTCTAGCGTGGTAGATTGTGTGCTGCTTACTTCATCGTTTGGCTTAGATTTCTTTGGTTTGAAACTCGGTACTAAGTCAAATGTAACTGGAGAACTGGACTTGCGTTTTTCAGTAGAACTTGCTTTCTGAATTAAAAGGGAAGCTTCAAGACGGGGATCGCGGTTCACAAACGTCTTGTCAATTTCAACACTTTTTTTATCCAAGAAATCATGTTTTTGATAAGACGTAGTGTGAGATGTTGATACTATATTCTCAGTAGCCAAATTAGGTGACTTTTCGGAAGTAGGGACATTCACAGATTCTACATCAGTATCTTCAGGTGCTTGCAAAATAATTAGTGACTTTTTCCTTTTACATTTCCTCTTTAGTTGAGGTGACTTTTTGCGTTTATTTCCTTTTTTATCTTCGTGAAAGGTTTCTCTTTCAACTTCACTGTCACTTGTTAGAGCTTTGTTGTAGGTGTCGGGTAGAGTATTTTTCAATTGTTTATCTTGACTACTAGTTTTAGAATTTTTATTATGGTTCTCTTCATCTAGGAGAAGCTTAGAGAAGATTAATTGTTTTTTTGTTAGCGGAGCCTTATGTTCTGTAGTATTTTCAGAATTGACGACATTTTCATTCATAATAGAAGTGCTATCAATAAACAATGACTTACCTCGACGACTGCGTCTCAAAGGTGTCGTATTAGAGTCTTCTCTATCATTGATTTTAGGCTTTTCTAAGGGATTTTCCGTAAGTTCTTCATCATTTTTATCTTTCATTATATTTTTTTGTGAAGGCAAAGGATCTTCTGACTTATTTAGATCATCTTGAATTTTAGGAAGATTTACTTTGAGATTTTTAGTCATATTCGAGTCTTCATTAAGTTCGAGTTTTTCTACATTATTTCTTATTTTCAATTCCTTATCTGCGATAGCTTCATTAGTGACAGCATCCGAGTTACATGGTGTATTGGAAGCGTTACAGGAAATGTTACTGGCTAGAGATAAAGAAGTTTCGTGTTCATTTTTATCAGGGACTGTGGATTTTTCCGATTTTTTATCTATTACTAGATTTTTTGTAGAATTACAGTCACTGGAAAATTCTATACTCTTCTTAACTTTTTCTTTTTTTGCAGACATCTCTTTATCACGTATTAAGTTTTTATTTGTCACAATGCTTCGATTTGAATCTGAATCACTGGTGCATTTTTCTTTTACAGGTTCTTCAATAGTTTCTTTGCTATTTACAATATCAGATGATACTGTGTTTTCTTTATCAACTTCTTTTTCGGCGATAGTTTGGTATATTTGATCTTGTCTTTCTATGTATTTTGTTGCACCAAAGTTATTCGTTCGACGTCCTTTCTTGCTTTTCTTTTTTAGTATTGTTATTTTTTCATTTGTATCATCAGTTACTTCGAAATCTTTATTTTTTGTGGAGCCCTCAGACGAATCAATAGACAAATCCGTTTCAGCTACTGAAGGCTTATCATCCTCAGTCACAATGTCATTCTGATTTTGTTGTAAAACATGAGCATCATTTATTTGTTCTGCTTTCTTAGTTTTCTTAGTTTTCTTCTTTTTTCTTTCAAGTTGAATATTGTTAATTTCAACAGTAACATTACACTCTCGATTTTTCTTCTTTACGATTGTTGCTAAAGTAACATCATCCTCAGAATCTTCATCTTCAATTGTAGATTTATCGTTTGAGGTTTCTAATATAGCCTTAGTCTTACTTTGGCTTGCATCTATTGCACTCTGTGTGGATATGCTAGAACTTTCTGTACAAAACTCTGTCTCAGTATCGTTTTTCTTTGAAGAAGATACATTGACTATTTCAGTAGAAACTTTCGGTGTGTTTACTTTGGCGAGGACTTTACTATTTTTTAAATTATTATCAACGTCTTTTGTAAGGGATGAAGTGACAATATTTTGTTTCTCCGTCATACTGTATCTTATGTCATTATCAGATTTTGCAAGTGTATCTTTTTCGATATTCTCTTGTACATTTCTTGTAGAGTTATTTTCTTTAGGGGATGGATCGAGCGTAGGAGAAATTGGAGATAATCCAGCAACTGTTCGATGTTGAGTGCTACTTATTTCAGCTTGTTGAATAGCCATAGGATTAGACGTTTCGGAAGTTCTGGGTTTTTGTTTCTCTTCACTAATATTTGGCACGTTATCAGTGTGCTTTTTAAACGATGTATTTTCAGAGAGAATCGAACGTTGTCTTTCAGAAGGTGCTTTGATTCGTACTGCTCTTAAGCTAGCAGTTTTATCATTGTTAGATTTTTGTGCATTTGGTTTCATACTATTAGGGATAGGAATTGTATGGTTTGAAGGATCTGGATTATAATAGACCTCTGAATCTTCAGGTGAAAATTCATCAACAGTTAAATCAATTATACGATCCTTTGTATCAATTTCGTCCATTTTGACTATGTTTTTAATTGATAATGACAAATTCGATACTGCTTTAGATTTGTCTGTGTCAATATTTCTTACAGGTATTTGGCCATCAGCTGAACGTCTAGAGTTAGTTCGATATTTCGAAGATATTAAATCAGCATTTTCTTGAGATTGAATCATATGACGTTCCGGCAGTTGAGGAGTAGGTGGAGTAAGAAGTATTGAACTTGATACAGTGGTGGGAGACATTGCCATTGTATTAGTAATTAAAGGCCGCCCGTCATCAGATGTTATATCTGTTTTATGGTCTTTTTCTAAGTCGTCATTAATTTGTATAGATGATTTAACATTTGGAGAATTGCATGAACTGGATTTACTATTAGCTTTATTATTAGGTAAAACAGATGACGTTGATGTCGATACATACTGCGGTAGAACATTTAGAAGCTGATTACGATGGTCTATCGGCATAGTACCTAATATCTCTACCAGTTCTTTAGGTAACATCGCAATTTTTCTTGCAGTTTCTGGATCTTGATCTAAAGTAGTCTTATTAACCTCAGCTTGAACAGATTCTGTACTTTTCTTATCACTCTCTAATTTATGTATAGTAGAAGGAACTGGACTCTTTCTAATAGGTACATATTTCTTTGAATCGGTAATTACTTCCTCATTTTGTATTATAACATCATCGTTGCATGTTTTTTGTGATATTGGTGATGTACTAGATTGAATAGTATTAACTGATTCGCGGTTTTCTACAGTTATCGTAAGAGCCGTGGATGTATTTTGCGCACTGTTCGTGTTCAGATTCCCACCCGTATTATATTGTGCGCTGTTCGTCATTATATAATTTGCTTGACTAGGTTCATATACAATCGGATTTGTGACTGTATCACGTTGACCAGCACGAGGCTCAGGTATTTTATTTATTGTTAGACTTAAGGGCACTTCAGAATGTCGATAAACTATTTCATTACATGTAGCCACATTACACGTGGCTGCCGTTGGTGATATTAGATTTGATGTAGAAATATTTTGTGTATCATCTATAGTATTACTATGCTCTGAATAAGTCATAATAGTTGATCTTGAGCAATTAATTCTAGGTGATGAGTTGTAGTGAATCGTTTGTTCAGCATCCATGCAATTTATGGATAAATGAGCATCATTGGCGTTGTGAATTGAACCTGTTTCGTTATTAACAACTATTTCTTCATAAAATTCAGTTCCTTGAGAGTCTACATATATTCTATGTCTTCTTTCCTTATTTCGTGCTGATAAATCGGCCGGAATATCTTCGTTTCTGAGGTCTGTAGTATTTGTACAAATGTTTAAATTTATCGGTTGCCTTTCTGTCATACAAATGGTTAAAGGATTTGAGCTATTTTCATTTCTTCGACTTGATAAATCAGTAGGCTGTTCATTGACGAGCTGAAGACTCCCCACTATCGATGTACACATGTGCTGCACTTGCATCATTGGGCGGGATAAATCTTGAATCATATTGATATCTGATCCGTTGTCTTGTATTCCATGTTTTTCATATAAATGTACTGTAGGATAACTCCTTTTAACGGACAGATCAGTTGGGTAATAGTCATCTTGAGTTATACATGATTGTCTTATTGATAAATCAGCTATATTGTCTTCTACTCTGTTACTCACGATGTCTGCAGGTACCGGGGTGAAGCAAGGTAAATGAGTTGGATGAGAAGTATATTTAACACGCAAATCTACAACATCATCCGTATTAATTTGAGGTACTTTTTCATGCAATTGAACCGAATGTCGGTTCGACAAATCCAAGGTTTCATAGTTATCGTAAGGTACAGCGCAATATTGTGGTTCTGTAACATATTGCACGATTGCTTTTTGGCCTTCTGAGCGCGAAAGTTTGCTTGACAAATCTAATGGTGCTGTTATTGTTGGTTCAATATGCATATTGTAATGCAAAGGTCGAATATCGGCTTCATTTGGGTACTGTATTGTAGGTGGATTTTGATAAACACGAGCGTTATGATAGGCTTGCTCATCTGGGAAATTGTGTGTTGGCAGTATTTGATTTTCAATAACACTTATTCTGTCGTCAGTCATAGTAATTCGGGGATAGCCAAGAGCTACGTTTTCAGTTGTAATCAGACTGCCGCCAACATTTGTATGTTCAATTTGTTTTTCACTTAATCTTCTAGTCGGAGTTGGTGTTGCACTAGTAGTAGTTGACTCTATTTTGCGACGACTATTACGTCGAGTCCTAGGTGTGCTAACTAAGCTAGCATCACGAGACGGTTTTTCTTTGGTAACCTTAGATCTGCTTCTTGATCTAGCGTCTCGACTTCTTCTTGTTGGCGGTCTTGGAGGTGTTATTGACTTGATATTATTTGGGTAGCTATATTCGGGAAAGCCTCTAAAATTTTTGCCTGTCAATATATCAACATTCATAGAATGTTGTAACAAGAGATCTTCCGGCAAAACAACTGATCGACGTCGAATTGGTTCTCTGCGAGTATACTGCTCATTATTTTTCTGGACAGCGTACAATTGATTATCATGCAAAAGTTTCCCTTGTATGTAGTCATTGTTTGCTTGCATATCTTTTAAAGCTTGCTCTTGTCTTACGTTGCAAGATCTTCGAGTAACTCTGCTACCCATATCATAATTTTGTAAAGTATCCTGAAGAGTCTTATTTGGATAATGCATTTGTAGTGATCTCTGAGCTGTATCAAATTTCGAATCCGTTGTGGAATGTCTGCGTTCAATTACCACTGGTTCCGGATCTAATGGCTCGTCAGTTCCACACTGAACTGAGACACGTCCTGGTGGAGTACCTATGTTTGGCTCCACTAATTTATTTTTCAACATGGCTATGCAGTCATTCAGCCCTTTACGTTTGTTAAGTTTGCTCTTGTTAAACATTTGAGTGTCCATAATCTCTTGGTGCCCAAAATGTAAGGGCGGTTTATCTAATTTGGTAACAATTGCCTCATTTTCAAATAGCATTCTCTCTTCTGAAGTGTTGTGGGTCATGTGTTGACCAGTACCATTGCATTCTTGTTGAACTAAAAAGGCATAATGAAACTGAACGGACTTATCCTGAGTATCAGGACAAGCTGTCAATCTCTCAATAGAATGTTTCAAGGGTACATTTTGTGATGGGTTAGATGAATTTTCAGAACTGTTATTTTGTCCGCTGGAACCAGGTTGCTGATTGCCGTTGTTATTTGATCCATTGTTATTATTGCTTTGTTCTCTTTTATTATAAGAACCGTCGTTAATATTAATTCGATCAGAGTTATTTTCCATAGATGATTGTTGGTTTTGCATGTTGCCTTCGCCATCAGAAGGTGTATTTGAACCGGCAACAGTTCCAAGTTCTTTAGTGGGAACACCTTTTCTTCTGGATCTATTTATACTAGTTTTTTTGTTAAAGGAGTCTTTATGGCGTAAGATTTTGGAAGCCACACGTTTTACTGAAGTTTTGTTAATTTTATGATCGCTTTGATCTAAGAATCCTCTTTTTGGGTCGTCACTTACATTGTTACTAACAAGCGAAGAATCATTATTTTGCGTTTTCTTTTTAACTTCATCTATCATTCTCTTTTTCATTACAAGTTTGTTTCTTTGTTTGTTAAGTTTTCTTCTAGGGCGCAAGATAGGGTTGAGTGGATTCACCATGACGCGATGACGTTTAGCTGGTAAGTCTGCCAACATTTTTCGTATGGTTTCGGCTGGAAAAAAAATATGATTTATATGACAGAAAATTAAGCAAAATTATATGTAAAAAATATATACACTTACCATCGCCAACTTCTGATCTGATCTTTTGTCTTGGCCTCATATGATTTTTTCTAGTATGACGAGATCGAATATCTTTGCGTATTTTCTTGCGTATAGTATTGTCAGGTAATCTTGGGCGCCGTTTCCGCATTCCAAACGGGCGATATCTACATTTTCTACGCACTGTAGGAGTATCTCCTGCACAATCTAACATGTGTTGGTGCAAATCTTCCAAGGTTATTGACTTCTTGCATTTCGTGCATTCTCTGAATCCCCGAAGAGGTCGTGTTCTATTATTCATTTGGCTGGGTGGTACATATAAATGTTTCAGAATATCAGAGTTAAGGAGCACTTCACCCACTATTTCATAATGTTGAATCTGAGCGTTAGGATGATGGTTCGAAATATGCGATGACAACGCTTTCGAATCACGCGTTTGAGCACCACAGGCACAACATACATAACATCGTGGGCGGACCCATTCGCCACTGAGAACTGCAGGCTTTAAATCATAACTGGGTTTATTTGGCACCAAACCTAAAGACGAAGGAAAGTCTAGACTTTCACGAGCGGGTACTTGTGGCTCTGTATATTTTACCACTTGAGAAAATGATGTTGGTAGCTCTCTGCTTTCTAGTATTTCCTTTAATTCTTTCCCAATAATGTTCTGTTTTTCAGTCTTCTTTTCTATAGACGGTAGGCTAAATTTTTTTTCAAATTTTCGTCTCATGCAAAGTTGTGTCCATATGTCCAGACTGGAGACAAGGGTGATTATGCAATTATTAGTATGAGAATCACGTTTTAGTTGCTCAGGACTCATTAAGCTCTTATCATTTTCCAGACTATCCCACTTCCATTTATGCTTTGGTGCTATAGCCCTTGGCATGTATGCATCAAAAATATTTCTGTTAAATTGCTCACATGTTAATAGAATCGGAAATCCTTCCACAGTATTGATTGGAACGCTGTTCTTAGCTTTTCTGGTTTTTATTGTGTTCTCCGGATCGGGATTAAAGTTGAACGTACCATCAAGGAACTTAGTTAAATTCTCTTGAACATTACTTGCAACTTTAGAGTAAAAGCTTGTGTCAAAACATTTTTCAAATTTTTGATTTGATTCATCCATATTTTTAAACCATTCTCGTCTATTAGACTCGCCAGCTCTTGGTGACCTATGAACTACACCGAGTCTTGATAATATTTGATCAGCGTCTGTATTATGAAAAGAGAAATTAGGCGGTACCCTTTTGTTCCATTGTAAATCATCCAGAAGGATAACAGCGTTCTTTTCGATGACAGTTGCATTACCTGAAGTCTTACTTGGTGGTAAAATCAAATTCGTAGTAATATTGTCCTCTATGTCGGCAGGATCATTTGGATGTGATGGCTTTAACTCACATGAAATAACGATGCGATTAAAGCCATGTTCTGCCGTAAAGTTTTTATCGTCATTTCCAAAATCATTGCGCCCGTTAGCATTTTGTGCCTTTTGGCCCTTTTTGGGGGTCTTTTGTCGTAACTTATTACGATATGGTAACTTTTGCTTTTCGCAAACATTTAGCTTATGTTCGGCTAGTTCAGTTGTGGATGGAAACCTTGTGTGACAGTCATAGCATGCGAAGTATTGGTTAGGGTGATTATCGACCATGTGTCGGATAATGTCGTTACCATCTCCTTCATTATGGTTGCAGAACAAACAGTTAATGGAGTTGTCTTGTTTTGATGAGGAAAGATGTGTACGTCTAATATGTTTAGAAACAGCTTGTTTAGCATAAAAGATCTTATCGCAGTAAGGGCAAAGGATTTGTGGGGAAGGGGAATCAGACTTGTTAGTGAGATCATCAGGTTTAGTTGGGGTAACTTTGGACGGGGTAATTCTTTTGGGTTTATCATTGGGTTTGGTGTCCAGTTTACGAGTAATCTTAGCGGATTGAGGGCTGGGGATATTTGACTTTCTTGGTCTCAACCTTCCATTTAAACCAGACGATGGTTCATCTTCACCCGTACTCATCGTGTTCAGTTCCTCGATCCTAAAAATTAAAAGTGACCTTAAAGATAATTTCTCAAAGATAACGAAATGTATACAACAACAAATAAAACTACGGTGAGTTTTCGTTGATAATATAATGTATGGCTGTAAATGACCTTCGGAAAATAACAGTAATAATATACGATTCCGGTTGCAGATTAGAGCGTAAAATTAAAATCAAATGGCAGTACATATGGCGTACGATCTTAATTCATCGCTAAGGACATAACTTACTTTTAGGGATGCATCGATACGCACACATAATAAGTATCGCCGATACCGATAACGATGCGGACATTGCAGCGTTCATAAGGTATAAAACGTAATTTTAAAAAGTATAAATAATAATTGTGGGTTTAAGATAGAAAATACAGAAACAAGCGGCTATACTTACATAAGTATAATATTAATTTAGAATGTATACATGCGTTTGCAAATTGTAATTTGGCAAAATATCAATCATGTTTTGAATATTGTAATTTAACAAAATATTAGTCATTTTTTGAAAATAGTAATTAAACAAAATATATATTTGATAATAAAGTTCAGATTTGAAATAATATTTAAAATTCACATTTATGATATTTTTTTACAGTAAACGCAACATTTTTCTTAAATTATTAAAAACTAGCAGTACCCCGAGGCTTCGCTCGCGATCAGTTGCTGGTATAGCATGTATAGTATATGGGATGCGGCCTCTGAAGGAGGGGGTTTTATTTTTGAATAGGAGATGATAGGGACTCTAAGTATACAAATAAAAAATATTTTTTCGGGTATGAAGGAATCAAAATTTATGGAGACATGGGTACAAAATTATCATACTTTTTTCAAACCCAAATAAGTCATCACTAAAGATAAACATACTTTTAAAAAATAGTAAACATCCTTTTTCGTGTACAATTCATATTATTAGGTTTGATTTTTTAATAAGTTAAATATTTTTTTGGAGAATCTTATAGAAACAGTCATTTTTATTGAATCTATAGTTTTTAGAATTTTTGCCTGTCTGTATGTCTGTCTGTCCGTCTGTCTGTTACCGCATCACAGAAAAACCACAGGACGGATTTTGATGAAATTGGGTATGGTGATAGCTGGTTATCCGTGTCAACATATAGGATACTTTTTACCGCGGGAAAATGTTTTATTACTAAGAAAAAATACAAAAACTGCAATGTAAGAGTAAAACCTAAGAATTTGGATTTTAGTCATCTGAACACGGGCGGAGCCACGGGTAATGATAGTATAATACAAAACCTTACATTTTGACAAAAATGTTACTTTCTTTTTAAATATTGTTGTCATGATGTATGTAACAGATAACGGTAATAGATGGACTACACTTAATAGTTGCAGCCGCTGGTATTTTAAAAATACCATGTATTTTTAATAATATAACGTTCTAAAACTTTTTTACTACTTTATTCACTATACAACCAAAACAACAAATGAATTGCTTTTCAGACGTAACAGATAAAATAATGTAAGAAACTAAACAGCTGAACTTCAATCTTGAGTTTATTTGTCAGTAGTTATAAATAATTACTAGCAGAACCTGCGGCTTCACTCGCGCTAAAACTACAAAAAAAACTCTAATACCGCATTTAGTCTCGCGCGAGTAGCGAGACGAGTCGCGAGGTGATCTATGCGACAAATGTGTAAACGGTTGTAACTCGCCTCGAGCCTTGTCTCGTCACTCGCAGCGCTCGCGTCGCAAGCGGTATTTTCGGCACGAGTCAAAGGACCGAGCGACGCGAGTGCAGTGTTTACGTTCGCGCTCTCACTTCACTCGTTTACTAGCGTTTAGCTAGCTTAGAAATTTTGCAGTTCCTTGAATTATTTCAAAAGAAGCTGATAATTTGGGACTCTATACATAAATGTTACAAGAATAATCAAAAAGTAAATGATGCATGGAAGAAAATATTCGAGCAAATGTGACGACCAATGCCAGAACTTAATCGTATAGTATTTTATATTAATTAATCGTATAGTAATAAAAGCTCAATAAAAAGGAATTGATATGGTTGCCGCCTCAAAGACAACTGAACGCACTGCGAGAGTCTAAACAGAAACTTCTTTATACGCGAGCTGCGAGGCGAACACGGTACAAGGTACGAAGCGAGTTACGAAGCGAGTCTAAATGAGGTATAAAATGATAGGTTTCATACAAAGTTTCATCCGCTATTTTACCCTCTTATGGGATGAATTTCGGAAAATGCTAAAACAGATATTTAATTAATTGTCTTGAAGAGCATTTATACCAAGTTTCAAGTAATTCTGATCATAAATATTTTTTTGGATTATATTATAACGTGTTTTCCTATGGCAAAGAAATAATTTGCGGGGTTAAAAAGTAAGCCTATGTCACTCTCCAGCCGTCCAACTATCTCCACACAAAAAATCACGCCAATCCGCCAAGCCGCTTCAACTTAAAAGAAAGACAAACAAACAAACAAACAAACAAACACACTTTCACATTTATATTATTAATATTAATTTAGAAATGTAATTTAGTAATAATACACCATAATTAGTAATAACAATGTTATACAACTTCTCGTAAAGAGCATTAAAACAATAACGAGATTTGCGGGACATGATGCGTTTTACTATTACTAAGATTGTACCCAAAATAAATTACCTTATTGTAAAGAGAAGGGAATCGAAAATTATTTTTGAATACTTTTTATAACTAAAAAAATACTAGTTTAGAAAACTAAATTAAGAGCAACGGAATATTACAGTTAGTAGACATTAATACCAACTCAATTTTAATATTGTAGAAGTTTTATTACTACTTTTTTTCATTTCATTTGTATTCTTTCAAATTTAATGGTTACGTTTGAAATACTCATGATTGATAAAGAAACTGCCGCATACATTTAATTTGAGCTCACGTTGTCACGGTTGTCAAGATTTGAACAATATTTAGTTTTTACACTATATAGATTCCGTAAAAAATTGTTAGTAAATCCAGCAATTATCGTTCTCGTTCCGACAATAGGATGTTAAAAGACGTTAGAAAAACTTCTACCGCTTCGATAAACAAAATCTAAAATAAAATTTTAGTTTTAAAATTTATTACTTAACAATAATTTAAACTTTTGTTTATAGCACGTAAACCTTTGTCTTTGTTGTTGAAGCCGCAAACAAGGCTTCACAAGCATAAAAAATACATAAGTATTCTTCATCCTAAATTAGAAATATTATTTATACCTACCAATTTTCATGGCTATCGGTCAAACCGCATAGTATAAATAAATTTCCACACTAACGATACAGTCGGTGAAAGATTTTCGGAGACTTGCAGTTTACAACAAGCAATCAAACGTTTTTTATTATTTTTATATAACAAGGTTCTGGGTTCCGAGTCCTGAGTCAAGCAAGTGGAGATATATAGTTTTTCATTCACGTAATAATAGGTAACTACTACTACTAGGAAATAGGTACTCAATAAAAGCAGTTGGCATTGTTTCAACCCCGTGCAACACGTAAATGCGTCGGTCCTTCGCCTGATCTCTCACTGGTCGTGTCGCGCCATTCCATCCGACTTTAAAAGTACACACGTGTGTGCGAACTATTTGTACTCTATTAGTTCGTCCCGCTATGCGTTTTTACGGTTAGTACAGAATAGACTATATATAAATATATACATATATATATATATATATATATATATATATATATATATATATATATATATATATATATATATATATATATATAAATATATATATATATATATATATATATATATATATACTAGCGACTCACCCTCGCTTCGCTCGGGTTCGTCACTAGTGATAATTTAGGTTTGTATGTATTTTTTAATGCCGAATCATAACATTTTTTTTTGGGGTGGACCACCCTTATCACTTAGGGGTATGGAAAATAGATAGTAGCCGATTCTCAGACCTACTGAATACGCATATAAAATTTGGTAAAAATCGGTAAAGCCGTTTCGGAGGAGTACGGTAACAAACATTGTGACATGGAAATTTTATATATAAGATATATATATATTATGCGCAATGTACATATAGTGTTAAGTGGTTAGTTTAGTCAAGTGGTTAATCTATACATATAATAAAATTGAAACTAAGCCGAATCTGTACATTAAATAATTTTTGGAAAATCTTTTTGAAATAAACATTATTATCGATACAGAGTTCGAATCTATAGTTTTAGAATTTTTGTCTGCCTGTCTGTCTGTTACCGCATCACAGAAAATCCACTGGACGGATTTCGATGAAATTTGTTATACTGATAGCTGGTTATCTGGGTCAACATATAGGATACTTTTTACCACAGAAAAATGTCTCATTTTTTCATGATTTGAATTTTAATTATGTAGTAAAATTTTAATAACAGTCACTTAAATTGATAAATTGACAATTACATTTATTTAGTTTTGCGTCATCTGTACATACAAATAAAATAGAGGTTGGAAAATATTACTATTTTAAAAAATTTGTTCAAAGGCTTTCAGGTATAATGTAAGTAAAATCTATTTCATTTTTATTATCTTAGAATATCAGTATCTTTAAAAGTCCTAGCTACTCTAAATTTAAGTTAACTATTAATATTATTTGATATTAAACCTATAGGTATAATAAAAAAAATCAAGTAGGCATCCTTTCTCAAGAATAAAACAGTATATACGAGTATTACAGTAGTACCCCGTAGATCATAAAATCGTAAGAAAACGCAGTAACTATGTATCTTTATGACAAGCTTAATACTTTACCTAAGCGGGAATCGAATTGTATTAAGCCTCTTTTAATGTCCCAATGCTGAGCAAGACCCTCCCTTCAATACGAGGGGAATCAGGCCATAGTCCACCACGCTGGCCAAGTGCGAGTTGGTGGACTTCACATGTCTTTCAAAAACTTAAAATCGGAATCGAATATGACGTCTTAACATTTAAGTCGGTCAGGTGTCCTGAACACTACTGCGCCAAATATTATAATAAAGAAGATATAACGGAGACTACATATTAGGTCCTTGGTCCTTAATTATTATGAAATTGGAGTTTTAATCGAACTGGCCACTCTGATCTCTGATCAGATATGAAATATCTGGCGTTTGGTTAGGAATTCCAACCAACAATTAAAACGTTTTAATTAAGAAACCTACAAAACTCGGTCCTCAAAAACTAAAGCTAGCGAATAAAGCAAAAATCCTTATAAACGGCAACGGAAAATGTTTAGAAACTTATATATACAATTGAAATCGAGCTTTAATATCGTTCAATTTCTATCGTTCATAATTTGAATTGAATTATCCACTTAATTAGTGCATTCGCATTGAGTTCTTTACAAAGACTAGAGGAAGATGGCAGACTACAAACTATTACGGCAGGGGTCGACTTATACGATCTGTATGATTCTAATAAATTAAAAATCGATTATTAAGTAAAGTTACTCTGTTTATTTGCTCTTGTATATCCATACTTCCATACTAATACTATAAATGTTAAAGTGGGCTTGTTTGTTTGTCCTTCTTTCACGTGAAAACAGATTGGCGTGATTTTTTGCGTGGAGATAGTTGGAGAGCTACTTTTACCGCGGGAGATTGTTAATTTCCACAGGAAAACATTTTATATAAAAGACAAACCACAACAATTATATACATTCAAACTAATATATAGTCCATCTACTCCATACTAATCGTTAAAATGTATCTAGGGGCGAACACGAGCGAAGCGAGGGTGAGCCGCTAATCTATACATATAATAAAAATGTAACGGATCGCTGTCTGTACATGGAAGATAAATGAAAAAAAAAATTATTGGGAACTTTATCAACATAAATAGCACCCAAAACAATGATTGTTAGGATTTTTGTGTTTATCCGTGCGTTTGTGCACGCTAATCTCGGAAACGGCTTATCTGATTTAGATGTGATATTCACTAATATATTGTGGTAATCTTCACTTAACATTTAGTGTTTGTGTCATGTCAATCGGTTCACAAATAAAAAAGTTATGCCAATTTAAAGAATCACGTCGAACATTTGTTAAACTATCTATATCTATCTTTATTCTTTCTCTGTTAAGTAGCATTGACTGAAACTTTACTAAGCTTCATAATAATAATAATAGTCTATATAAAATTATTATTATATAATAACGTTTCTCTGTCTGTTTGTCTGTTTGTACGGACTAATCTCCGAAACTGTTGGACCGATTTAAATGAAATTTTGCATGGTGGTACCTTATATCCCCGATCAACATTTTAGATACTTTTCATCCCGGAAAAATTAAAGAGCTCCCGTGGCATAGTTAAAAAACTTTAGTAACTTATTATACAGCTTAATAGGTGCCTAGGTACATAACAACTTATGCATCTAATTTAGTAAAATTTGGCATGCTGATACCTGATATTGCCGGTCAAACAACAGGTTACTTTTTATGCCGGAAAAATGAGCGGTTCCCGTGGAATAGATCTGATTGTGATTTTCTAGAGGCAAACCCGAACGAAGCAAGGGCGAGCCGCTAGTAATTAATAAAGTTTATGCAAGTTGATTCTTAGGTATATAGGATAATTTGATATAAAAGGAGTAACTAAATATACAAAAGGCAACTATTGAATTATAAGGCAGCGCCCTTTTCTCAGAAGGATTGATGGACTTCGGGCGTAGTAGTTTCAATGCGAACAAACCATTGACACTATTCAGAATTAAATTCATGGTTTCAAAGAGCTTTTAGGAACTTGACCAGATAAAGTATATTTTGAATATGAGTATGAAATACTTTGCTGTACACATAAGCAAATTATTGGTAAATTTCAAAATTTTAATATATAAGATGCTATGTATTTTAATTTTAATTAAGCACTTTCTTCTTATACCGTATTATCCTGAAAGATTCTATTACCTTCGACGATTATTATAGTTTATAAATTACGTAATGTGAAACTACGACTAATTATTTTTTTTAATAACCTACCATGTAGCTTACCTTAAAAAAGTTTTAACTGAGCGTCTTATATTTCATTTTTTATAATTTCTTATATTTGTATGAATATTTAATTTAGGCTAGCAACGACTTCGAAAATATCTGATTAGGTATCTATTCTAAATGAAAACCTCCGTTTAGTTATTTTATACATTTTAGTGCCTGGAAGTCGGTATTTTTTTTTTAAGTTTTTATATACTAAATTACTTTCAAACATATAAGTTGAATATATTATTGTGATCGCATCTTAAACACCTTTATTTTGATAACCCACTCGATTGGTTTGGAATATTTTTTTGAAGACACATAATTAGCGGCTGAAATCCGCCATTTTAATTTTTAACTATTTTTATATAACACTCGCGTTATCAAGACTACTTAACGATGTATGAATCATCAAAATCGGCCCACGCGTTTAATCTCTAGAATGCCATATAGTAGCAAACAAACATACATAGACTGATAAACTCATTACTCTCCTTCGCGTCGCGCAGTCGGGTAGAAACGCCATTGTTTACCAGCTTTTTTATACGAAATTTTTGTAGGTTTATTTACGTAGTTGTATAAAAGATTTTAAAATTGAAAATACCTGTAGAAAAATAAGCCCTAAAACATAAATCTAAATATAAACAACGATCGATAACAGCCATACATAGTAAGACGATGTTCCCACCGCAGTCACGACACTAACGACAACACACATTATACTCACGGAGTCAGCAGGAACGGATGATCGGGTGAAAAGTCATCTAAACAATCGTCTGATGCGAACGGGTCCGGGTCGAAGCTTTGCTCTACATCATGCTTATCTCGGTCGAACGTCAATAAACCATCTGGCAGCGATCTGGACCAAAATTTCACCTATTAACGTACAGGCACAGCCTCGTCAAAACGCTAGAGAGGAGGAAAAAAAACAAAAAAAACATTTAGTAAAAAAAAATTAAAAAAGGAAAAATAACACAGGCAAAGAATAAACAATTTCATAAGACATAAAGCAGCGAACAGTCCAGTAAAGAAATATTTCAAAATAAAAAGTAGCGCTCAGCAAACATACGAAAGAAGGCATAGCGGAGTACGCTTGGCTTCATATTGATAAATAAATTCACATTATAAAGCTTTATATTTAAGATGTAAGTTGGTGGTATGGAAAGAATGATAAATTAAAAATTGAATGAAATATTTTTATGAAATGCGCGCACTGAACGGGCGGGCGCCCCCTCCCGCCTACTCTTGGGGGTAGTTGCGAGCGCCCGGCGTAGCGAATGCATCCTACATTCACACTAAGGCCTCATTACTGATTTATTATAAAGGTGAAATTTGTAAACATTGTGTCTCGCACAAACAGAAAAGGATCAGTTAAACGAAAAGGTGAATCACGTGATAATAATATTTTGTTGCATAATGATCATTTTAAATCAAATTATACATTCGGGACGATTTACATGAATTTTAATTAAATCAGTTCAACAGAATTCAAATATTCATATTTTTTATATGTTTATATCTATAATTCTTCTGTGAGTGTGTATGTCACTGAACTTCTCTCAAACGACTGGACCGATTTTGATGAAATTTTTTGTGTGTGTTCAAGGGGATCTGGGAATGGTTTAGATTCACAATTTGAATAATAATTTTCATCAAAAAAATTATTAAAAAAAGTTTGAAATTTTCAAATTAAAGACGTGTAGACAGGACAACGTCTGTCGGGTCCGCTAGTATTTCATAAAGTTTTAAAAGAGAAACTATTTATTGAGATACATCATCGCTAATGTTACACATCAATCGCCAATACTAACTAAATGTAACTTTACTCAAGTTTGTGCATTTGTTTCATTTCTATTTAGTTTGCGTTATATTTGAAAGAGCGCAACGATACATTTCTGTATCAATTTAAATTCGCTTTGCCACATCTTACTTAAAAACTGTTTATATATAGAGATAACTGTTTATATAATTTCTATGAATATATTTAAACAGACAAATACTCATGAAGTTGCTTTTTTGTTATAATGCCCGTTATAATAAACGTGCATAATAGCATACATCCCAGATCAATTAAACATAATATAAGTCTTCTAACAAATGCAACTATAAAATATTTCATTTTTGCTTTCAATTTTTTGTTAACAGAAACATTACTCTAAAATTGAATTTCATTTAGCTTTGAGAAAAGCTACGGAAGGTTTTTTGCTTTTGTCACTTTATGTTTAGGTAATGCTGCTGAGGGAGCAAAGCGCATACAGAGTAACACATTCGCAAGGTTTAACAGAAGAAAATAAAATATACGACATTCAAACATAATAAAAGTGAGAACAAAACGCAAGTATAGAATATCGACGTCGGAGAGCGGCACGCAACAGGTTCAAGCGTTCGCATCACGTGTTTTTGTTTGACGACAAATTCTTCCTTCTCCTTTCAAATCCTTGAATATTTTCAAAATACAATCGCAATACAAGTAAAAATGTAGAAAAATTACCTTTTCTATTAAAATGCATAAAAATTAACGCACATAAATAAAGAAAAAATGCTCGAAGTACTAAATTCGTTCTGTAATATTAAAACATGTTTTCAATTTAACTCTAACTTTGTCCTCATCAACCACGGTACATGTGAGATCGTTATAAAACACGAAACTATATCAATAATGCAATCGCAGTGATGACGCAAACTTGTACCAACAGGTCTTTTAGCACGAGGCATAAGCATATTTTTAGAACCCTAGGTCGCTAGTAGCTTAAAAAATTCAGTGTTTAATACGATTACAATTAGAGGTATTTTATAGGACTGAATTTAATCAATAAATCGCGGCTACATAGCGCTATTTATGGCCTTTTCCTTTTTTGTATCTGCTACTGCAGTAAATGTTATAAAATATAAATATTATCTTCCAGTAGATGTGCTAAATGTGTATAATAGTTTCTTAGGCCGAACAGCTGCCAATCTTGCCACGTGATACCTAATTAATGGAAATGAATGTTAAGGATACTTACAATGGAATTCGCGGGGCGGCGCAGAGCGCCCGCCCCCGGTTGTACACAGGGCCACACGTGGCTCCTCCCCGCGGTGGCCACGAATCAAAGTACTTCTTGCAATCTGTTTACAACTGGACCACGTAGGAGCCAGTTTGATGCAGCCCCTGACCGATATCAATCGATATCACCTGGAATATTAGGACCTCTTCAGTTTTCTTGTTTTTTATAGGATGCTAGTTTTCAGCTTTAGATTTATTATTATGACAATATTATTTAGTTAAATTTTGTTTAAAAATATATTAAGACAGCACACGGTCACGGCGATTGTGAAATTGACAGTAATTCATGAGAAAAATAAATAAAAACGTAAATATAAAATAATTGTTTATTGCCCTAAAAATACTAATTGCATTTTTTAATAATAGGGGAGAAAGCAAGTGCTGCTTTTAAACAAAGTCCATAAAAAAATTGTTTGTGAAAAAAATAAAATGAAACAACAGAAAAAAATTAAATGTTTTATTTAAAACAATTAAAAATTTAAAACCCGAAACAAAGTTAAGATTTGAGCACTTTGCTATCACGAAATTAAGGTAAACCGTTAGCAAGCACAGGGACATACAGAACACTGCTGTCTACACGAGAGGCGCTCGACTGTTGCCGATGTAGCCGACCGCTGACAGGCGACTGGTAGCGGCGGCGCTAGCTAGTGTATGATAGATGAGGACGAAGCGGGAAGGGGGGTTAGCCCGGCCCGGCCACAGAAGCCCTAGGGCGCACGAGCGAATCTATACTCCTTTTTTAAACTAAGCTGAAATCACATCTCCCCGCTACTACCTACATATATTAAACGTATTGGTGTTAAACAACGCACTCGCCATGCAATTGACGATCGTAACGCCGGTGCATACGATTCGATTATGAACGACAATGGTTAAATGTCTTTGTTTTATTGTGTCAGTAATTTATATTCATTTTTCTTTGGGATTCGGTAGATGAGAGCAATAATTGTATGCTGGTCAAGTGATAAATGCAGAACAGAAATTAATGGATGCTATCGATTAGTTGCAATGCGCATGGATGTCAATTCCTGGATGTACTTAAACTGTCTATACTTGTGTGCTAATGGAAGTCTATAATGGATTTTGTTTTGAACTAAGGAAGCATACGTGTTGCTCTCTTTGTTTACAAACATTACATAAAATGCCGCGGTTTTTACGCTCGGATTTTAGCGCTCTTTAAGATTAGTTTCAATAAAATCAATCAAAGGTACATACAAAAATCCGATACGAGAACCGCACAGTAATGTAACTGGTAATTTATATGTTAAATACAAATTATATTAGAATATCAAGGAAACAATAAAATTATATGTATTTGAATTAAATTTATAATATTGAAGATATTTTTTTTATGACTTTAAGGGGATAGCCACTATGATGGATCAAAAAAAAACTTTGTTTTGCTTTAATTTAAAGTGCCTTTGAAAATATGTGTAGAAAAATGTAGATCAAAATTTCGAATATTAACTGAGTAGCCGAATCTGTACATTAAATATTTTTTGGAAAATCTTCTGTCTGTCTGTCTATCTGTCTGTCCGTTCGTCCGTCCGTTCGTCCGTCCGTCCGTGTGTCCGTCTGTCCGTCCGTCCGTCCGTCCGTCTGTCTGTCTGTCTGTCTGTCTGTCTGTCTGTCTGTCTTGTCTGTTACCGCATCACGAGAAAAGACAGATTTTGATGATATTTGGTATGATGATAGCTGGTTCTCCGGGTCAACATATAGGATACTTTTTACCGCGGGAAAATATCTCATTTCTGAAAAAAAATGCAAATACTGCAATGTAAGAGTATACTAATCTGTAAAACCTAAGAATTTGGTTTTTAGTTATCTGACTGCGGACGGATCCGCGGGCAATGCTAGTCTTAAATAAAATATAAAATTACCTTTAAATTTGGTAAAAATATAATAAAGAAATACTTTACAACTATCCTACTTATGATACTATATATTCATCTCATTCTCTCGTTATTTTTCTAAAGTTTCATTTCTACTGCCTGAATTGCACACACACACACACACACAACACGCACACTTTTTTTAAATATATTCAGTGTATATTCAATTTAGTAGGCGGACAGACAGATAGACAGACAGAAGATTTTCCAAAAAATATTTAATGTACAGATTCGGCTTAGTTACAATTTTATTATATGTATTGATATATTACATTATATATTATTCAGTATTGTTTTTATTATTATTTACTTCCTGTGTAATGTATTTTATGACATTCTCTCGCCGGCTTAATCCTATATATTTATATGTATGTCTCTTTGTCGTGACGGAATTTCTGTTCATCGAGTTTCAATACACAACGACTCTAAAAAGTTTCACTTCAAAAACGTGATCCTTATATTGCTTAATTATTACCGTCAAAAAATTTCCTGAAAGTCACTTCTTTATCCGGCTTCCCTTAAAGTTGGCAATTGTTTTGCGTAATTTGTATTTTTTACAATAGTTGGTTTTAACCCTGCATACATATAAAGCAAAAAAAAGGTAATCTAATTACGAAAGTATTTAAAATGTTATAGGATCGTAGAGATATTTGAAGTCTTATATCTAGCATAGCAATACCTATTGTAATTTTATATAAATAACGTATATAGTTATAAAATATGTTTATAATAATATATGCGTCATGTGTATCTATCTATCTAATCCATACTAATAATAATATATAAGTATAAATGTGAAAGTGTGTTTGTTTGTTTGTCCTTTTTTCAGGTCGAAACGGAGTGACGGATTGGCGTATTTTTTGTGAGTAGATAGTTAATAGCTGGAGAGTGACATAGGCTACTTTTAATCGCGGGAGATTATCTCATTCCCATGGGAAAACACGATATAATACTACCCGAAAAATTATTTATGATCAGAATTACTAGAAACTTGGTATTAATGGTCTTTAATACATTTAAATAAAAGCTTGTTTTAGCTTTTTTCGAAATTCATCCATAAGGGGTTAAAATAAGGGATGAAAGTTTGTATGAAACCTACCATTTTAGACTTAGTTTTTATAGTTTTAGCGCGAGCGAAGTTGCGGGTTCTGCTAGTAATATATAAAATTCTCGTGTATAAAATATATTTAATATATAAAAATACTAATATATAAAATTCCGAAACGGCTTGACCGATACTTATGAAATAAAGTATGTCTCTATATTCAGCAGGTCTGAGAATAGGATGTAAACTATTTTTCATACTCCTAAGTGATAAGGGTGGTCCAAGGTGGTAAAAGATCTGGCCGTCCACGTAGTGTTCATACGAAAAAAGCGATCAAAGCAGTAAGGGAAAGAATTCGAAAAAATCCTGTAAGAAAGCAAAAGATTTTATTTCGGGAGATGAAGATAGCACCTAGAACTATGTCGCGTATTTTAAAAGATGTATTAGGACTTGCAGACTATAAAAGACTCACTTGTCATATCTTAACTGATAATTTACAAAAAAATTAAGTGGTATAATCAAAACACTACTTAAGCGGTACGCAAGAGGTCACAAAAAATTTTTGTTTACGGATGAGACATTTTTTACAACTGAGCAATATTTTAACAAACAAAATGACCGTATTTATGCTTAAAGCTCTAAAAAAGCTTCCCAATTAGTCAACGTGGGTATTATCCGATTTCAGTGATAGTTTGGTGGGGTGTTAGCTATGAAGGAGTGACTGAGCCATATTTTTGTGAAAAAGGTATCAAAACATCGGCACAAGTGTATCAAGATACCATTCCTGAGAAGGTAGTTAAGCCCCTTAATAACACCATGTTCAATAACTAAGAATAGTCCTCTCAGCAAGAGTCGGCGCCGGTTAATGAAGCTCGATTCACGCAATCTTGGTTAGAAACCCGTGTTCCGGATTTCATCAGAGCTGAAGACTGGCCGTCATCTAGTCCCGATATTAATCCGCTGGATTATGATTTATGGTCAGTTTTAGAGAGTATGGCTTGCTCTTAACGTCATGATAATTTGGAGTCCCTAAAACAATCCATACGATTGGCAGTGAATTATGAACTGGCCTTAACGTTTAAAGGACTGTATTGCAGCCAATGGATACCACTTCGAATAAACTTTATATATTTTGAATGTTTTATATTAATGTACTAGCATTGCCCGAGGCTCTGCCCGCGTTCAGATGACCAAAAACCAAATTCTTAGGTTTTACATAACAGTATACTCTACTACTCATGCGATAACTACTGAATCGATCGGAATAAAACTCGTACCCCAAGATGCAGCGTGTTTCGGAGAAGGTTTTAGTACATATATGATATGTTGGTGGTTAATTTACTATGCAGGCGGAGCCGCAGGAAGACGATAGCTACTAAATAAAATTCTTGGTAATATTGAACTGCTTGTTGGCAGTAAAGACGTTCCTCCGGAATGCTAGTAAACGATCTCGAACGTTTACTTGTTTGATCTAAACAGAGACACTGACGACAATAAAATTTTATTTTAGGGGAAAAAATAATTTTGATTGATCTTTGTGTAAAAACTACAGGTATTTTGAGATTTCTAAGGATTGTCGTGGAAAGCAGTGCTACTTAGGGCGCTGATACAAAAAAAATTTGAAGTATTTGAAAAATGGTGGGCATGGTAGTTAAAAATATCTTTAGGGGTGTCAATTTTCGAGGAATTCGAAATATGTTTGTAAATCCAAAAAAATTAAATATTTTTTTCCTTGTTTCTCGATCAGTCATGAGCAGGTCCATACTCTGGTGCCCGCTTCTCGTTGAATTTTGGGACACGTTGTATAATACTTTTGCGAACTATTTTTTTTATACAGGATTGTGTTTTTAAAAAACAAATTACGATTTTAATGACCTGTGGTATGTTGGTGAGAATTAATTAAATTGAACATTATTTAAACGTAGTTTGTCTAAGTATATGAATACATACTTAGACAAACATTAATAAGACAATAGACTAATATCAAAGTACGATATAATAATAGAGAAGACAAAGTGCTAAGAGCTGCGATCTAAACATACAATCTCGTCACCTATATTCCCTTTTGTCTGTACTCTTTTATGCTAACAGTTCTTTGTTTACTTTATTACCGGGAAAAGCAAGCCATTATATCCTTTTCACGTCTTTAATCAAATGTTACATTATCCAATTACATTATCAGATCCTTTGTACTTTCTAAGTCAAGAGCAGCTTTAAAACAGATTAAAAATAGTCATACAATAAGCAGTAGGTACTCGTACAACTTATATCTCTTATAATCTCCCCAGTACCTGGGCCACCGAGCGTCGCTCGGAGTTTTTGGTCTAAAGTACAATTTTCTTTAAAAAAGAAACTAAAAACTTGAATACATACAAAAAACTAAATAAAAGTAAAAGCTTTGTATACAATTGGGATTCGAACCCGGACACCTATGATAATCAACCTTGGCTGCTTGACTACGATGCTTATGTCCGGGCATACGAAATTAGCGACCATATATTGCGTGCGTTTTCCCAGATATAAGACTAATCCAAATCGATTTATTGCCCCTGAAACCGCTTGTACACTAAATTTCATGAAAATCGTTGGTGCCGTTTTCGAGATGCAGATTATATATATATATATATATATATATATATATATATATATATATATATATATATATATATATATATATATATATATATATATTTATATATGTATTTACAAGAATTGCTCGTTTAAAGATATAAGATACAATGATACAATATAGCGTTATTGAGACCAATTAATAGAAGATTCCTGTTCCGATGAAACGTCGAGTGTGCAATTAGTGTAAGGTGGTTTTCAGGTTGCAGCCAATACAAATGAACGTCGGAGATCACATTAATTTGTATAGGGTACTGGGTACGCTAAATCCGCACTTACGAGATATAATATAGTATAGTAGATAATGCAATGACTGTTTCCTGATGTATATAATACTCATTTGAGAGTCAGTGCATTTGAGTGGATTGTGCGTTAATGATTATATGTATATATCCGTAATTTATATATACATTTATATATGATATTTACTTATAAGCTTTTACTAAAATAATAACTCAAAGTGCTGTTAGAAAGCTTATATCGAGGGTTTCGCTTCAGACAATTTTCCTCATAAGTTTGCATGATTTTTGCTAATTACCCAACTGCGCGACGCAAACGAGGGTATTGTGTTTATTAGTCTATGTATGCACATATATTTATTCCTATGTGTTGTTCTAGGGACCAAAGGCGTAAGCCGATTTTGATAATTCATACATCGATAGATTCGTCTTGATAACCCTAGTGTCATAAGATATATAAAAAAGTAAAAAACTAATAATGACGGATTTCAGGCGCCAATTTGTCTTTAAAAACATCTTCCAAACTAATCGAGGTCACAATAATATATACAACTTATATGTTTAAAAGTAATTTAGGATAAAAAGTAGCTAAATATAACTTCAAAGGTCTAATTGGCAAAACTAATAAGCTGTAAATAAAAAATATATTATAAAAACAAAAAAACCCGACTGCATAAAAGCTAACTAAGAAGACATAGACATACATATGTACGAGTATGTGCTATGTTCATACTGCATATATCTTGCGGCAAGGATAAAACGTGTATGTTTCCAACTGCATAATAGTTAACAGCTTCGTCAACAGCTTGTTTTCATCTTTTTAATTACCTTTTATGTAGTTGGGTTTTTTAATTTTAACCCCCGACACAAAAATAGGGGTGTATTGTAGTTTGACCGCTAAGTCTGTCTATGTGTATCTGTCTACCGCCCCGTAGCTCTTAAACGAGTGAACAGATTTGTATGCGTTTTTTTTAATTTGAAAGCTAGTTTTTTGGCGATGGTCCTTAGACATATTTTATCAAAATCGGTATAGTCATTTACCAGATCCAGGAGATGAAAGTGGGTATAAAAAATCGAATATTTTCAAATACGAGTATACCCAAGTGGGGGATCAATGAAAGGGCATTGTCTGTTTATTTAACCCCCGAAGAAAAAATGGGGGTGTTATAAGTTTGACGTGTCTGTTCGTTTGTGTATGTGTATCTGTGTGTCTGTCTGTGGCATCGTAGCTACTAAACGAATGGACCGATTTTGATGCGGTTTATTTTGTTTGAAAGCTGACGTGATCGAGATGATTCTTAACTATAATTTAAGAAGTTGGGGAACCGCTAGTTAAAAAAAATTAAAACCCAGAATACAAATAAAAAGAATATTGATAATGATAAATATTCGCGGTCCCCCGACGCGGCGGCGCTTATCATCAAAATATTAATTGGTATTTAGAATGAAGATAAAAGGTCAAGAGAAAAAAAAATACTTTTTAGTTTTTTTTTGGGGGTTACTTAAAACTTTTAATTTTATTTTTATCATAATATATTGTGTATATACAAGTATAACACGAGATCGGCTTAACAAAACTAAAAAATTATCTTATACTCGCTGCATAAAACTTCTGCGTGTAAGTCCGTGACTTACCGTATCGTACGTTTTATGAAATAGGACCGTTTGGCAACAAAAATATTTCGAGTTCATAAATCGTTTTTCAGTACAAAATGTATGGGAAAAGTTTTTGGCGATTTCTGTCCTTTCTGGTACTTATACCTAAAATGGTCCCATAGAGTCTTTTGATCCCTACATGAAATAGGATCGATTGATACAAAAACTTTTTTTTTGTATTTTAGAATTTTTTCCAGAATATCTCAAAAAGTTATGGATGGTCTCCTAAGCAGTTAAGGTACCTGTCCTTGGGGGCCATCCATAAATTACGTCACACGTTGAGGGGGGAGGGAGGTCAACGAAGTGACATTGTGTGACAAGGGGCAGGGGCGAGTCATAAGCTTCGTGAAGTCACATGTCAAAATCTGAAGTATTAAAATACAAAACATTACTTAACTGTAAACGAAAAATAAACAAATGATCTTTCTTTACGCTATATAAGGTTTATATTGTTTTGTTGGCGAATTCTCGCTGGGTAGCGAGGGGCTCGCTGTACCACGTTGTTGATGTTGATATTATCCTATCAAAAACGTAAATGTGAAAGTGGGAGCTAAGTTCAATATTAAGAATAAGCTTGGTTGTCAACTTCAACTACAAAAAGATTGAGATTTAAATGGGTACCAAGTACTGTAGATAATCCTGATTTTTTTCAAAGAACATACAACATTCTAATATAAATTTGAAACATAATTTTTTATTTTTTTTTCTGCTACATAAGTGTTTGCTATTTAAAAATAGAACTTCTTAAAGTTGAATTCCGCTTCAGGTAAGATTTTTTGAAGAAAAATTTAAATTCAGTTATTTTTTTTAAATATTTGTTCCATCCTGTACCATAGTCTATCTATTCGACGATGACGAACGGCGGGCCGAACCCGAGCGAAGCGAGGGTGAGTCGCTAATATGTTAATAATTTAGCTAGTAAGTTAAGTAGTTTTCAAGAAATCGTTTAAAGTTTGAACTTACACTATCAATTGACAAATAGATTTGTCCCCTAGATAGATCAGCTTCAACAAAATCATTATATGCACTACTAGTGTTAAATGACACACTTGTTTGTTCCGGACGGTGAGTGCAGTGCGCGCCGCTCCCGGCCAAAGAGGGCATCATAAAAGCGATAAATTAATGAGCTCCAGGAACAATTTAGCATACAGTCACTTGACTGATGATAACCATTGGGAGGATACTGGCTTGCGTAACGTTTCTGATAACCTCCTTTATATCTAAGCTTCTCTTAATACTAAAACGACCTAAAACTTAAACTTATGGACTGGCTTCTAAAACAGGATTACTGGAACACAGAATCACTGCTGATCTACTCCAGATAAGAACTACTTTTCTTTTCATATAATCACTACCCATTCACAACAAACTCTCTCTCTCTCTCACACACACACACACACACACACTCTCACGCACACACACACATTAACACTTGCAAACTAAACAGATAATTTAATTCTGACAATATTTTGGGGGATTGGCACTGTATGCCGTAATACAGGTCTCCTAGTACGGCAGCAGAGACAACCGTATTATTTGTATTGATAGTCTAAATTGTTTGTTTCAAAATGTACTGTTCAATATGCTTTTCAACTACAATATGTATGTATTTTTGTGAAATAAAGTATTATTATTATTATATGGATTAGTCTAGAACGAAGTGAGGTTCTGGTCTTCAATACACTCCCTAGCCAAAAGACCTATAAAACTTCTATTCTATATCTTGGAAAAAAAGAATGCGATCGTCAAACGAAAGTTTCCCGACTAAGAGCTATATACTTTTAGACTAAATCTTACATTACGAGAATTAGTAAAAAAATATTTAATAATACCGCTCCTTTGATTGCAAAGATATTGCATGCAGTGCTGCGTTTTATCCGAAATATTCATCGGCTACAGAATCCAGCATAGAGCTGCTCACATTGTTTGCAGGTGAGTGAGCGTATCTTTTAGAAAATAAAAACCGACTTCAAACAAAAGCACTAAAAAGTAAAAAATAACTGATTGATAGTTTTCATTTACTATACATACCTAATCAAATATTTTCTAAGTCGGTGTGCTTTGCTTTGTATAGGCTGGCACCGATTTCGAAAATATTTGATTAGGTATGTATTTAATAGGTAGGCTTTAATTACTTAGCCAAAGCACACCAACTTCGAAAATATTTGATTAGGTATGTATAGTAAATGAAAACTACCAATCAGTTATTTTTTACTTTTTAGCGCTTTTGTTTGAAGTCGGTTTTCATTTTTTTGTTAAAAAGTTTTTATTTTTCCCTTTTTAGTGTAGATAGTAGTAGCAAAGTAAGAATTCCAACGTATTAGGCTTGTCAAATCAAACAAAATAAGCCCAAACTCAAAGTATCTACTATTAGCCGTTGAAGAGTTCCACCTATCCACCTTCTGGCCTTACCATCACATCAGGTCAACAATACCGAACCACTGTACTATCAACGATTTACCTACTATTATCAGGTTACTTTAATAGCCTGAAAGAATTTGACTATCGGTCTATATTGAAAAAAAATTCTTTTAACTCTTAACCGTTGAGGAGTTATTGAGAACCTCCTCCTTTTTTTGAAGTCGGTTAATAAGAGCCTGAAAGAATTTAACTATCGGTCTATAATTACGTATAATATTGAAAGAATTTTCTTTTAACTCCTAACCGTTGAGGAGTTGTACCTTCCATCATTAGCTCAACCACAGGAGATGATGATTATCAGACGCAAATACTTGAACAGCTTTAGGAAATATATGAAAAACGCACACACGCACACACACACACACACACACACACACACACACACACACACACACACACACATATAGGTATTATGAGTTTTATATCCCTTACAAACTATCTTTTACAATATACTTAATATTATAGATTATTCTTCTTTAACATTTCATGTACAAAATTTTCTTAAAAAGAACCCCAAATGATACAAAAAACTTAATATTATTCAGGAGTAAAATGCAAAAGGTCGCAGCATCTCGTGGTGACATATATAAGATGAATTGTACATTTAAACGGATCAATTACTTTGCTTTGTGATTCCTTTGCACTAAGTGTTAAATGACGCGTTTGTTAAGTTCTCGAACGCTACACTGGCGAAAATTCGAACATACTGTAACTGTATATGTATATAAAGATTAGTTATAGTTTAAAAATACTAAGAAAGATATACCAATACAATATGCCATTAGAATTCTAATAACAATATGAGAACTATAATTGGTAATAGCAAATCTGTACATATAATAAAATTGTAACTAAGCCGAATCTGTACATCAAATATTTTTTGGAAAATCAAATAGACGACCATAGAAACAAATGAAATAGACATTATTATCGATACAGAGGCCGAATCTATATTTTTTAGAATTTTTGTCTGTCTGTTACCGCATCACGAAAAACTACTGGAGGGGTTTCAATGAAATTTGATATAATGATAGCTGGTTATCTGGGTCAACATATAGGATACTTTTTACCGCGGGAAAATGTCTTATTTCTAAAAAAATACAAAAACTGCAATGTAAGAGTATACTAATATGAACTAATATGAAACCTAAGAATTTGGTTTATAGTCATCTGAACGCGGGCAGAGCCGCGGGCAATGCTAGTATATGTATTATATACTTTATATCAATAATACTTAAGATTAGCTCTTGATATTTTCTACATAGCTTCCAAGTTTGTTTATGGGCTATCTACTAAAATATAAAATTACTAGTGACTCACCATCGCTCTGCTCGGGTTCGTCTCTAGATACTAGATACTCAGAGATAAGATATTTTCCCACAGTAAAAAGTATCATTTATATTAATTAACCCGGATAATCAGCTAGCATCATACCAAATTTCATTAAAATCTGCCAGTGGTTTTCTCGTGATGCGTTCCCAGACAAACAGACAGACAGGCAAATAGACAGACAGACGGCTTTGTACCGATAATAATATGATTTTATTTAAATATTTTATTTACAGATTTGACTTGGTGAAAAATTAAATTAAAGATGGCGATCCTATATTTGTAAAAAACCCATACATTTTATAATAGACCAGTGACTGGACAAATAAAAATATATTAAGTAGTTGTATAGTAACTATATTAATAGTAATAAATTATTCGTGCAGTTACGAGTACTGTATCAATAAGATCAGCCTATAAATTTCTATATAGGTCTATCTCATACATATAATAAAAATGTAACGGATCGCTGTCTGTACATGTAAGATATATGAGAAAAATATATTATTGGGACCATTATCAACGCAAATGGCACCCAAAACAATGATCGTCAGAATTTTTGTCTGTTCGTCTGTTTATCTGTTTGTCTATGCGCTTGTGCACGCTAATCTCAGAAAAGGCTTATCTGATTTAGATGTGGTTTTCACTAATATATTTTGGTAAGCTTCATTTAACATTTAGTGTTTACGTCATGTCAATCGGTTCATAAATAAAAATGTTATGCCAATTTAAAGAATCTCGTCGAGCATTTGTTAAATCTTAACCATTTTTGTACGGACTAATCTCCGAAACTGTTGAGACCGATTTAAATGAAATTTTGCATAGTGGTAACTTATATCCTCGGTCAACATTTTAGATACTTTTTATTCCGAAAAATTAGAGTTCCTGAGGGATACTTGTAAAACTATAGAAACTTATACAGCTTATTACACAGCAACTTATGCACCTAATTTAGTAAAATTTGGCATGCTGATACTTTATGTTGCCAGTCAAACAACAGGTTACTTTTTATCCCGGAAAACTGAACGGTTCCCATAGGATATTTCTGTTCGAGCTTTCAATTAATTTTAATAATAAATGCATAGTTTTTGTTCCAAAAAGTCAATTATTATTTATTTAATTAAACATACTAGCGGGCACATTTTAATAGGCACTCCGATCAAAACATATTGTCCCTATTATTATTGTATAGTATATAAAAAAATGATTTTGGTTAAAAACGCTATGAACGTAACAATCTTGCAGCCGGATCTCGATCCATAACCACTTTACGACAAAATAAATATATTATTGTCAAGGGTAGGAACGGACTTTAAACTCCCGATACCATATGAATTAAAAATGTTATAACAGTAGCAAGAATTAGTACACGTAAAAGAGAAAACAGAAATTTAGAAGTGATTCAATATTTACACATCTAGACGTCTATAAATAAAAAATACTGTCTAGGTACAAATATTTTTTGAGGTAGGGTAATGTCACGGTAATGTTACATACAGTATTCCATCTTCATACAAAAGGTCGGAAATCGAGTTATACCTACGCGCGTCGCGTTCGGTATACACTCGGTAGACAACCGTGCGGGGCTGCCACATCGTATAATTTGATACGATAATGTTATAAGATGGTTATGTAACTTTTATAATTGGATACAAAAATAAACATTTTATTCCTCCCGTAAATTCGCTATTATGTCAAACAAAAAAGTATCGAGACATCGTATGTTTTAAAAATAAAAACTAATTAATTAAATTAAAAATAAAAATTAAAGTATTTTTAATTATACTTTTTATCCGAATGCGGATTCTTTATATTATTAAATTTAATAATAAAGCTTTTCGTATGTCTCAGTCGAGATGCAAATATTTTTAAATCTCAAATTTATAAGGGTCACATACCACCCTTATAAATTTGAGATTTTTTAATAAAATCTACTAATAATATTTTTTAAATAAAATATATACTTAATATTTGAAATCACAAAACTAGAAAGAAACTCAAGTAGGTATATGAAATTAAAATACTGGCCGGTGGGCAGCCGTGTCGCGTGAGTACGTGCCTCTCGGCTGTAGGTAATTATTTCAAGGACAGGCCCGAGTTGGAATACTGTATGCATTACATTACCGTGGTAATGTTCACCAAATAATAAAAACGAAAGAGTTTGACAGAAAGAACGTTCTTCATAGTAAAGAATTTTTTTACGAAAGACGTTTGACCCTAGAGAAAGCGAACATGCGCCCAATAACCTGTCATATATTGCAATTTGAAATTATAAATGGCGTGTAAAAAATTATAATATAATGGAATGTAAAATGACTGTAATTATCTATATTCATTAGTGATATTTCAATTAA